TATATTATAAGTTGTCGTTAACCCAACGAGATACTAAGTAGACCATTTTGATCGTACGATTCGCGCGCACAACATGGGAAAATAATACTGCCCAGGTTCCTCCATTCTAGTACCTAATATATTACTATATCGATCGATCGACCTCGAAAAGAGAGAGATATATATATATTACAAGTTGTCGTCGACCTAGCGAGATACTAAGTAGACCATTTTGATCGCACGATTCGCGCGTACAACATAGGAAAACAATGGTGCCCAGGTTCCTCCATTATACTATAAGAAATAATACTTTATCGATCGATTTACGACAAAGGGGGTTTTCTCTATACTTGAAAGGAACCATTGTTCACTTATAGTATTTTTATCTCGCTCATTGTCTTATAGTATCGCTATTGTCTCTTCGTATTGACCTGTAGCAGCTATATATCCCTCTACTTCTGTAGAGATGCTCGCTATAACCTCACTTCACTACACCACATACCTCACTACACCACACACCACATACCACACACCACACACTACACACTACACACTACCCACCACCTACTACCCACCACATACCACCTACCACCTACCACCCACTACCTACCACCTACCACCCACTACCTACTACCTACTACACACTACCCACCACCCACCACACACTACACACTACCCACCACACACTACACACTATAGCCGTTGCCCTTGTACAGACAGCGCGTACAGCAATAGCGTTGGTCCAGTATGATAACGACTGCTCAGTATGGCTGGTAGCCGTTAGGCTATTAAGGGAATTCCTGGACGTCCTACTAACAGAAGAAACCCCTGTCCTTCTCGTTACCTAGAGTGTGCTCTGTTTTAAAAACGCCAACGATCGCCAACGATATAGCGTTGCACCTAGGGCATCGGTGTGGTCAGTAATAAAGCCGGCCTTACAACATCAAAGAGCCGATATCCTACGGGTATTTCTTTGCGCCAGCCAATACCAATCATATAGTATAGCCAATGCCTCTAACCAATAGCATTGTGTACTAGTAATGAAACTCCAAGGACACTGGTATATCTATTCCATAGGTAGAGTGGCTGAACAAGATATAACGAGAGGAACGACAAGGATTATCGCACTTCAGGGTATAGCGGTGGTTCAATTTCTTCTTAGGAGCTACACTTCAAGGCAGAGGGCAACAGTATATGTAAGGGATGGGCCGATTGGACGGTGCGTCGTCGAGTCGCTGGAGGCAATAATTGAGATTTTCGAGGCCGCGGTAGTTAATAGACTTGTAGGTAATGAGATCGTTGAGCATATAGGGCAAGGAAGGAGAGCAGTAGCTATATCTCTATAGAGAGATATAAGTAGGAGCAGCGGCGACAGTAGCGGCGATAGTAGTATAGGAATATCGATCGAGCTGTATTATACATTATTATCTCTTCTTCCGCTTCGAATTATTATCTCTTCTTCTGCTTCTACATTACTACCGACGCCCCTCTGGAAGTAGATCTTGATTGTATAGTGTATACGGATACCTATACGACGACGGCTGCGTCCTAGAGTCGTGGACGAAACGCTCTGGTATCTGCGCCGGCCGGTCGAGTCTCGAGAGCGCACCTTGAACGAAGTTTTCCAGTTCCTTCTCTCTTCCTACGGCTAGCAGCGACATACCAATACTAATACGATATGCTTCGGGCCCAACCCAATCCAACACCTCCATCTTCCGGTCGAACGTAAGCATAGGTAAGAAGGTCGCGTCTAATACTCTATCCGATAGGAGCTCCATATCGCTCTTCTGCCGCGGCGGCGGTAGCGTAGCACGAATCTCCTGGGTTTTCAGATACTCGGCAAGTGTCCTGTTGAACGGCTCAAGTGCTTTTTGGGCTGCTGTAGACTGTAGTTTCTCAGCAGCAGCAACGCGGTGTACTCGTTTCTTCGCAGCGTCCGCTTCTGCTCTCTTCTTAGCCCGTATATGTGCCTTCTCAGCTCGCCGTGCGACGATCGCACTACGCTCAATATCTGACAGCTCGTCTAGGTCAACGTCGTCGTCGTTGTCCGAATCCGTACTCGAATCGTCGATAACCATAGTATCTGCGTCCTCCTGCGGAGCGACGAGATCTGCGGCAGTAGTAGCTTCGTCACCAGTTGCTATCTCATCACCGACGAGCTCTTCTATATAGTGCTTCTATTGCGGCTCAGTACCGTCCATAAACCGATAGCACTCGGGGTACGCTGCCTCGTGCGCTTCCCTAGCGGCAGCGACAGCGGTTGGTGCTCTATCTGGAGGGCTATTGTAACCAGAAGCATGTAATAGGTGTCGTAGCCAAATACCCCAAGTCGGCTTGATATCGTTCTGCCATTTGGCCTTCAAAGATTCGCTAGTAAAGTGAATTTTGAACTCTTCGCGCATTACTAACGCGATCGCCAGTAGATCACTGCTACGGAAGTTCTTTCCATATGTCTGTTTGGCCTTGGAATCGATCAAACGCCTTAAGAAGAAGTCGATATGAGTGTCCTCGTACCGCGATAATTCGGGGTATTTTGGTGTGTCCTTTGCCTTCTTCGCGTCGCGTATCGCTTTACGCTTTGCAGCGGCCTTCGTTTGAGTCGCGGTTCTCGTTTTTTTGACGCCTCGGGGCTTCTTGGTAGCGCTTGGCGGCATAGGCGGCATTGTGATATAATAGCAACAGCTGGAAAGAGGTAGATAAAATAAAATAGATATAATAGTAGAACTCGGCCGATACGACGCGTCTGGATAGAGATGAATAGAACGACACGTAGGAGGTACGACACGTCTCGGATGATAGTGTGTTAAATTAGCCAAGGCGGCAATACAGTGGGTTCTACGGCGACGACGGCGCGGAGACAAGGGTATCCCTATAGAACTATTGACAGGTGTCTACTCAGCTATCGTTACTATCGACAGATGGACGCTGACGATAATTTCCGACAACTATCGACAATTTAACTATCGACATATCGACAGAGTAGACGAGGCCTCAATCTACCAGTAGAGACATCGCATCAACACTCGACATGGCGCAAGAACAGGATGCATCAGCCCGACTGGAGCAGCTCAAGGCAGCGGCGACCAAGGCCTACTCGCTCAAGGACTACAACGCTGCCGCCGAGCGATACGCAGAGGCTTGCGGCGTGCAGGATGAGGTCAACGGCGAAATGTCCATTGAAAACGCCGATCTGCTCTACCAGTACGGTCGCTGTCTATACCACCTGGCCGTCGCCAACTCCGACGTGCTAGGCGGGAAAGTCGCCAGCAGTGAGGAGCCAAAGAGGAAGAAGCGCAAAGTGTCCAGCAAGGAGGCAGAAGCCAGCGGCGAAGGAAGCAGCGCCAGTCTGATCGGGGACGCCATCAAGAGTGGCGAGCAGAAGCTGGCCGAGGACGCGGTCGAGTCTGTGGTTGAGAGCAAAGACGGAGTCATCCCGGAAAGCAGCACACAGGGCATCAAAGAGGCAACGAAACCGGGCAACAGCAGTAATCCATTCTTCCAGATCTCTGGCGACGATAACTTTACAGACAGTGAAGACGACGGGGAAGATGCTGAAGGCGGAGAAGGCGACGAGGAAGAAGAAGATGACTTTGCCATCGCCTACGAAGTTCTGGACATGGCGCGCATTCTGCTCACACGGAAACTGGAGTCGCTATCAGACAGCAAGAGTAAATCGACCGAAGAGAATCCAGAAGCTCGTCAAATTAAGGAGCGGCTTGCAGACGCTCATGACTTACAGGGTGAGATCGCGTTGGAGAACGAACGCTTCGCTGATGCCATCAACGACACGCGCGATTCGCTGGCATTGAAGATGCAGCTCTACCCGGTGGATAACTCTCTGATTGCCGAAGCCCACTTCAAGCTCTCTCTAGCACTGGAATTTGCCTCGGTGACATCCACACAAGAAGACGCCAATGGCGAGAACAAGGTCGCACAAATTGACGAGGAAATGCGAGCGCAAGCAGCGAATGAAATGGAACTCGCCATTGCTTCTTGCCGTGCACGGATCGCCAAGGAAGAAGCAAGTCTGGTCTCTCTCGATGAGGTCAAAGCAACAGAGTTGAGGAGGAGCCTCGCGGATGTGAAGGAAATGGTAGGAGAGATGGAGACCCGCCTTGAAGATCTTCGCAAACCTGCTACTTCACTCTCAGCCATGCAGAATCTTGGTCCTGCTGGCGCGCCGGGTGCCGAAGAAGCGGCTATGAGAGGTATACTAGGTTCATTGCTGGGTGAGAGCAAGAGCGAACAGGAGAAGCGCATACAAGAGGCCACGGCAAAGGCCAACGATCTGTCTGGCATGGTCAAGAAGAAGAAGCCGAAGACGTCACCTGGGCCCGCATCCGCACCACAGCAGGAACAGAGCGTCGTCGTTGAGGGTAATGGAAAGAGAAAGGCCGAGGAAGAAGGCACGAGCACTTCTAACGGCACGGGAAAGAAGGTCAAATTCGCCGAAGACACGAATGGTGATGAGGCTTGAGCAAATCTACAGCTTGTACTAAAATTATCATTTTAGCGATTTGTGTACTTATGAATACCCTTGGATCGATTATATCAATCAGCGATTGCCACTACCAAATTTCATGCATGGTCTCAAGTACAGCACACGCCTCAATCTCAACAGCAGCCAGCTACACTCACTGCGTCTACTAATAACAAGCACAAAGACTCTTCAAGACTCCACCTCACCATCATCCCCATTCAAAATCCCACTAATCACCTCCCCCAAAAACCCCTCATTATTCACCTTTCCATCCCCACCACCTTCGGGTCTCTGTTCTGCCGTATCCTCCGCCTCATCCTCATTCGATTCTTTTCCCCCAAACTCCTCCTTTTCTTCTCCCATCATTACCCCTTTTTGGTTTTCTCGCTCTTGATCATCAACAACCAATTCACGTTTATCCTCTTCCGAATGAGAATTCTCATCATCATCATCATATTTCTCTTTTTGCAAAAAAGTTGAAGTTGATGATAATGAAGAAGATAGCGATGTAATCTGCTGCTGTAAACTATCCAAACAAGTCGCGATGCCTAAAAGACTTTCTGCGAAACCGGAGAGTCGATTTTCGAGGAGGTGGAATTTGTGGTCGATTGAGGAGTCTGTTGTTGTTGTTGTTGGGATGGGAGGTTCATCATCCGTAGAAGGTGGTTGAGATTGTTGTTCTTCTTCATCGTAGTCTGTTGGGATGGTATCCGATAATGATGATGATGGGAGATCTGAGGGGTGGTAGGGGGACGAGGATGGGGATTCGTCGGAGGACATGATTACCTATGGTGGTGGTGATGGTGATGATGAGAGAGGAGGTGAGAGAGAGAAAGAGAGGGTAAAAGAGAGATAGAGAGACTCAAAATATCAAAAACATTCTTCACTATCTAAATACAAATCCAAGATAACTCAGCGCCTCATCAATGACAGACAGAGAGAAGAAAAACGATGGTATAGATACACCCTGCTACCTTTCCCAGAACCTACAGTATACTATACCATACTACTAGCTAAAAAGCTATCTTGGGTGGTGTGCTTTCCTGGTGTTGGGTATTCTGTGGAAAGACTCGAAATTTGGATCATAAGCAAGCCTTGGCAACGCTCACTTCACTTCACTTGCTCATGTGGCGATGTTCGCTGCAATTCGACGAATGTCGACGACAGATGAATTGTGTTTTGTTACATATGCACATGCTATGCTCGCTATAACGCTCAGAACCCACTGACACTCCCAGTCTGGCCGCCGCCACACCAGCAAGTGCCTTCCGCCTCTCTTTCCACATGGATCACTACATCCATCCGCTTTTCTCTCATGAATTCGTCGACCCGATGCCTGACGTCTTCCAAATCCGCCGCAGGATTCGCAATAATATGTATCACGCCTTGCACCTTCTTCTTGCCCGATCCAGCGCCATGATCATGCCCATGATGGTGGCCATGCGAATCTGCCACATCATCGCTATCGTCTATCCAAAATCTGGGAACGGCATATCCAACCACGCCGCGAAGTTCTCCCAGTTCTTGAAGTGTGTTTTTGATTTCATACTCCAGCGTGCCTGGGATGACCAGTAATAACTTCTGCCCTGAACTGATCACAAGCGGTACAGCTGCGGCGAAGATGAGAAGGGCGATGACTATCGTCGCCAAAGGATCCCATAAGTACCACGGTTTCCACAGAGTCATTGCAGTACTCAGTATAACCGCGAGAGAGCCACCGGCATCCGCAGCAACATGCAAGAAGATACCATGCATGTTATCGTTGTGCTCATCGTCCCCGTGACTGTGCGCATGAGCGGCCTGAGTCTTTTCGTGTTTGTGGTTACAATAGCCAGAAATATCGCCATTCGTGCCGGACGATTCGTTTATTTTGTGGCCATGCACGGAGTTGTGGTGCTCGTGCCCATGTGAATGGGAATGACCGTGCGATGAATGGTCATGGGCATGGCTGTGATCGTGATCATGCGAGTTTCCATGGGAATGGCCGTGCAATGAATGGTCATGTGCATGGCCGTGGTCGTGGTCGTGAGCATGCGAGTGGCTGTGGGAATGATCGTGAGAGTGCCCATGTGAGTGACCGCCGTGGTCATGTCCATGATGTGCATGGCCGAACGCGAAGAGGCCTACCATATTGACCAGGAAACCAAGCGTACTTACAACCAAGAGTTCCTGCACATGCCGCAATTCCTTTTGCTCAACAATGCCTTCCATGGCCTCCCATATAAACTCCACGCTGACCAGCATCAGAAAGATGCCATTTCCGAAACCCGCAAGAGTATTCAGCTTCCCCCATCCGTACGGTCTGTCTGGACTAGTGGGCCACTTTGAAGCTACCGCAGCGCCCAGGCCTACCACGAGTCCCAGACAGTCGAAGAACATGTGAACTGTATCACTGAGCAAGCCAAGGGAGCCGCTCAGGTACCCATAGATACCTTGTACAATCATAAAGGCGAAGTTCAAGCTATGCCGAGTCAGCAGACGAGGTCAGGTAGACATGGACTGGTCTGCACTTACCATGTAAAGTACGCGATTCGCCGCGAGTCTCTCTCACTCAGGATGCCGTACATGAGCGATCCAGGCTCAGAGTTATCAATCAGATATTTTGTTATGCCAGAATGACTGCCTTCATTCTGGGTATGCTTGTGCGCGTTATGCGCATGGTCGTGAATATGGTCGTTATGGCGCTCGTGCACCGTAGCCAGCGAAGTATCGTACAGGACCCCAAAGTATGAGAGCGCGGCAAGACCGCCGTTGAGAATTGTCCCTGGCCAGAGGGAGGGCGAGAAGAGAAACGCAAGAACAGCAAACGTGAAACAGCTGATGCCCAGGCCTATCTTGTACTGGCTCCGGAGCGCTGATGGCTGGGCAAAGAGAACTGCAGCGGCCGAAAATGCAATTGACAGAACAGTGAACATGATGGACGACGGTGCCGTAGACGGTGCAGTGGCGAGAAAGGCAGAAATCAGGACCGTACATATCGACATGACCACGCCAGCTGCGAGGGTCAGGTTGACCTCACTCACTGACGATACAATCGAGGGTGCGGTGGCTCGAGCCCATGGTGGGCGACCTGTGAGTGGCGTTGTTGGTGTCACAGTATTTGAGTGCTGCGCAGAAGATGGAGACATGCGCGTGCATGGCAGTGGTGGCGAGATGAAGATGACTGAACATGCGAGAGCCAGATACCCGACCAGCATATCTGTGAAAGCGGCCTTGAATGTGATTCCAGCAAAGTCCAAAAGGGCTGCCAGCAGCAGCACAGCTACCGACGCGACTCGAGATTTCAGCATGTGCTGCCATTCATGCCACGAAGGTCTCTGGGGTGAGTCGGCGCTGTTCAGACCCGATGCCATGGCGACAAGTAGCACCACGCCCGTCCGCATGCCACCGATCTGCGTCGAAGCATAGAAGGGTAAGCCAATCCCGAGTGCTCGACTGAGCATCTGCTGCATCGATGCAAGTGTGAACAGAGTATTGGTAGAAGAGGTCTCGGGCTTGTCTTTCCGCCTGTCCAGCATTCTCTCTGAAGATCTGATCTTGGCTACGAACCCTGTCAGGAGCAGCGTCCCACTGGTGAGAACACACGCCTCCACGAAGCCACATCCTTTCCGCACCAGCATTGTCTGTCCAGCAGTCGAGCTCTCCTCCAACACCGATTTCTGCAGTCTCTGGTAGGCAGACAGAGGCGGCATGCCATCCTCGACGGAGGCGCCAGGGTGGTAGGCGGCGGAAGCGAGCAAGTAGGGCAAGGGAAGGAGCAGACTCGTCAGCGCCTCGGGCAGCGAGAACCACGACGATGAAGCCTTTTGAAGTTGTGGGTGATATGAACCTGCAGGTCGTCCCAGATCTGATTCGCCGCGTGGCCGCGTCGGTCGTTTCATGGGTGGTAGCGAGTGACTGTGCGCGTGCGAAGGCTCGTGGGGGTGGGAGTGGTGGTGGTGGTGGTGGGCGCCGCCGTCGTCGTGGCGGTGGTGGTGGATGTCGTCGTGACTGTGGGAGTGGTGGTGTTGATGTGGTATCTGGCCGTTTTGTTGGTGTGAGAGGACGTTGCTAATGGACGGCGACAGGCTTCGGTGCAGCTCGTCGACGGGGCTCGCAGCCGGTGTGGTTTCGTTGCTTAGCTCGGCATGGGTGAACAGACTACCACTCTGCGTGCTGGTCGTCTTCCTGCTCGTGTAGAGACCGGCTCGGGATCCATTTCCATTTCCATTTCCAAACCCGTTGGCGCGTCCATTGGGGCTGGCGGCAGGCTTGAGCGACGACGGCGACAAGTGCAGCGACGACTGGCGACTGTGTTGGGGACTGCCCCGTGGCGTGTTGTAGAAGTCGCGCTCGTGCTGGTGCTGGGTGGTGCCTTCCGGCTGTCGTGGAAGGGCCCAGGTATTATTGGCCATGGGTCAAGTACGGCCCTGGCTGAGTTACAGTGAGGTCAGGTCAGGTCGGGTCAGGTCAAGTCAGGTACAGTGCAGGAGGCGGCGGGGACAATTGAAGGGTCGATGCCGTGTCGTCGTCGTCGTCGTCGTCTATCGTCGCATTGGCGCTGCTGTGTCAGTGACGGGAAGAGGCCTCGCGGTCTTTCTGTCGCGGTAAGGTACATGTACTGTAGATACCTGACTGTATGAAACGTCGTCTGCTTGCTCTGCCGCGCGTGCATGGAGCTCTGTGTGTTCATGACTCTCGGCCCCCTTATTGCTTTGGTAATAACCAGCCGCCGCCATACCATGTGCAAGTGGCGGATCGATCCCTGCATGCGCTAAAACTAGCTCAGGTTGGATATCTCCCAAGGTACAGGTGGGTAGGAGGAGGTAGTTCGACGAAACACAACATTCCAGGCTTCAGAAGTCCATACGAGAACCCATACGACGACGGGCAATCCCCAACTACACGAGGCATCTGTAACTGAATGCCTACATCTTTCATGCCTGGATGATGAGCCCCAGGCTGAAAGGGCGCAACAGAGAGAGAGAGAGGGAGAGAGAGAGACGGGAGAGAGAGAGACGGGAGAGAGAGACAAGCGATAATAGGTACTGTACCGTACTGTAGGCTGTAGCTAGGTGGCTTATCTTCGATCCCCGCGCCGAGTCCCACTATGGATCAGTGATTCAGATTTTCAGGTCCCACTGCACATATCCGTCTTGCTTACACACTTCCACAACCTGAAAGCGGAAGGAGTTTTTGCACGCGCTAGAACTACTCGAGTAAGAGCCAGTAAGGTACTAGAGTATAGATAGTGCGGCGTACCATAGCAGAGAAAAGTACAGTATATACCCACAAGGTATTTTTAATTTTACAGGTACATGTACTGTAGTACGGCTTACCCTAGGAGGTAGCAGAGGAAAATACTGCTACGAGGTACGAGGTACGAGTCTATCAGACTATTACGCTCGTGCGGGAGACGGACTACCACCCTGCTACATACAATTATGGCCTGGACAGAGTGGATATGGCAGACTACACTCTATGCCGCCATATTCGCCTCTCTCATCTGTGTCCTCCTGCTCTTGACCCTTCCCAGCGCCTACTCGAACTTCGACCCCGGCTACGTGACGGAAGAAGACTTTACAGAAGAGCACAAGTCTAACTCCTCCAAGTCTGGCTATGCATTCTTCACCAAACACAAAGATGCTGCCGACCGCCTGAAGATCGATGCTAGTGTGCAGGTCGTCGTTCTCGGGGATATCGGCCGTAGTCCTCGAATGCAATACCACGCCCTCAGCATCGCATCTCATGGCGGCACTGTCGACATAATCGGCTACGCTGGCTCGGATCTGCATCCGGATATCCTCCAAAACCGACTCATCAAGATTGTCCCCATTCCAGCGTGGCCACGAACATTACAATTCGATAATCGGATCCTCTTCCTCTGCACAGCGCCTCTCAAGGTCTTGTGGCAGATATGGAGCCTTTACTACGCACTTTCCTACCGGACCCGGGCCGCGAAATGGATGCTGATCCAGAACCCACCTTCCATTCCCACCCTCGCTGTTGCAAGTCTGGTCTCTTTTCTGCGAAATACGCGACTGGTGATTGACTGGCACAATTTTGGCTACTCCATTCTGGCTCTTCGTTTGGGACCTAAACATCCCTTAGTCAGAATATCTGAATGGTACGAAGGCTTCTTCTCAAGACGCCGGGTCCATAGCCACATTTGCGTCACAAATGCCATGGCCCGCGTGCTTAAGGATAAATGGGGCATCACAAACGCGCTACCGCTACACGATAGACCGGCGGATATCTATCAACCACTCGATCAGCAGCACAGGACCGAGTTGCTCCAAGCTCTCCCTGCGACAGCCGGGAACGTGGACGATATCCTTACTGGAACTTGTCGTCTCCTGGTCTCGTCGACCTCGTGGACCCCCGATGAGGATTTCTCCATACTTCTCGACGCACTCGTCCGATACTCCAACGCGAAAGACCTCGATCCTTCGTTACCGAACATCATCGCCATCATCACCGGCAAAGGTCCGCAACGAGACTACTACCTGAACCAAGTGGTGAAGTTGACGCGAGAGAAGAAGCTCGAGCATGTCGCAGTCTTGTCAGCTTGGCTTCCCGCCGAAGACTACGCTGCACTTCTCGGGTCCGCAGATCTGGGTCTGTCGTTGCATACTTCGTCTAGCGGCGTGGACCTCCCCATGAAAGTCGTCGACATGTTCGGCGCTGGTCTGCCTGTCGCTGGCTGGAGTGACTTTGAGGCCTGGACGGAGTTGGTGAAAGAGGGCAAGAACGGAACGGGATTTAAAAGCTCGAAAGAATTGTCTCAAATACTGGAGAGATTATTTGGTGGCGATGGCGCTGAGCTGAAGATGCTACGACAGGGTGCTATGGAGGAGACGAAGAGACGATGGAATGCCGAGTGGATGCCAGTCGCTGGCAAGCTCTTCGATTTGCGAGATTAATGAACACGCTTCAGCTTCAGCTTCACTGGCATAAACGTATGTGATGATCCACCTACAGCAGGTGTTTTTCAACTGGCATGTATGAAGAAAGGACTCGGGGCGTGCGCTAAACGTTTCCGTTATCTGCCTCATGGAGCGGGCAGTCGTACATGAAGCTCATCCAGCACTCCGATGTGCACTCGCACAAGAGCTTTCAAACTCAACATCAAGCTTTTCGAAAGATTCCAATTATGCCTGCCTGCCTGCATATGGTCCCTAGGCACGTCGGTCATCACCAGGGCGAAATGTCACATGCGTACCTAAGGTACCTTACCTAGCTACCTACCTTATCTATTCCAGCTGTGCAACGACGATCATAGAATGATGGTATACTCGACCTTTCGGACAGAACACCTCAGAGCCAGGCGTCTCAAATCTCGCATACATGTACCTTAAGGTACGATTTCTTCTCTCAGTAGGCAAGGACACTTAGAGACAGAGAGCGCGATAGGTGACACACCATCCTCCGGACGTTTGCCATACTTTGATTTCATTTCTTGGAGAGAAAAAAGAAAATGAGGTATGAAACAATGAAATACCCTTGCAAAAAGAAAGGACGTGAGGGGGTGTGCAGAAGTCGTTGACTGAGATGATTGAAGAAAAGGAGAATGTCATGTCATGTCACATGAGGAAGGCTGCCTGGCTGCGAGGGAAGAAGAAAAGGAAGAGTCCAAGTGAACCGACAACGAGAGGTCAGGGCGTAACTTGAGAGTGCGGAGAAAAGTATGTATTGTCGAAGGTACCTATATACCTTATGGTGCCGGAGAAGGGTAAGGTAGGTAGGTGGGTGAGGTAGGTACTGTAGTGAGCGAAGAAACAAGGGTGTCGTTTAGGTGGGATCCGCTGGTTGATGTATATCGCCCTCTTGCCTTCCATTTAGGTGTGCTTTGGAGCTGCGTTTTTTTCTTTTTTTTTTCTTTTTTCTTTCTTTTTTTTTCTTGGTGGTCGGCTTTTTGGTGGTTTTGCAAGTCTTGCTGCCAGCCGATGATTGGATGATTGGATGGGTGAGGTGTGCTTGCTAGGTACCTACCTACCTACATGTACCTACCTACAGCCTACAGGTATGTACCTCCTACCTTATGAAGCTTATGAAGCTTAAGTGGGTGGACCTCACAACTGTCGCATCTACCTACCTCCTACCTCCATGATGTTTGGCGATGTAGTCTAGTCGATGACTACCTAGTAGGTACATGTACCTACTCCAGCCTCTATCAGGTACGCTTGCATCGGTTCAAGCATGATGGATGCCTACCTGAACAAGCTTCACTCACCGCATGAAGTGGAGAAAAAAGATCAAAAGTGTGTGCGCGTGACTTTGACCTCGTGAGAGTGCTCGGGTCTATTCAATCATACATAGCTGAGACAATCTGATGAATTGGCGGGTTCGGCAGCCTACCTTGCGGAATGACATCTCCCATCACACTGGCTGCTGCTTGTGCCCGCCAAACGTGGTGAGAAAAGCTTCCTTGAGACGCCTTCCTCTGCCCAAATTCTCCTTGTCAGGATGGCTAAATGAGACCATTTTGACCGAGCCTGCCCTCGTCGTTGGCCTAGGCTTACAAATGCTCGTCGTCGTCATCATCATTCTTGGTATATCGTGCTTCTCGTGTCCAATCTTCTGCTGCGATAAAGCAAAATCTCTTGCTATGGGAGTTGTAGCCTCCGGGCTGCTGATGCGGATGCCACTCATGCCGGAGTCCGTGCGCGATACGACATCTCTGCCGTCTTTCGCTGCGTCGGTCACACCTGCTACAACTCCCTCGCTGTACAGGCGTTAGCCAACGAGCCGAACATTGCACCTGATGTATACCTGACCTACCACCCCTAAGAAATACCGTGCTGCTGTTTGAGCTTTTCTAGATTCTCCTGTCGCTCGGCGAGATCTGCTTGGCTCTTAGCCACTGCAAGAGTGGTCAGTATGTCTCGCTCGTATGTCCTCCATATACCCGAAGTATTGCCTACTCTTTTCAGGTTGGTGGTATAGGACCACTAGATAGCGGTTCTGGAAGTTGAAGCCGTTCAGTTTGTCGCAGGCGCCTTTGGCGTCCATGACATCTTCGTAGACGACGAACGCGGTTCCCTTGGTGTTGGCGGCGATGCCTTGACGGATTTGGCTGGAGGTGGCATGTTAGCACGTGGACATTTCAGCAGTCGTTGCGCATCGCTATGAGGTCGCGCGGGAGAGACGATATGGCGCACCGAATGGGCCCGAATTTGCCGAAGAGGTCGAACAGTTCCTCGGTGGAGACGTTGTAGCTAAGGTTTTTCACGAAGAGTGCGCTGAGAGACATCAGTAGGCTGTTTTGAGGCCGTGGCGCGGTGGAGTGGGGATTGGACGGAATACCGGTTCACTTCAGGCGCGAGCTTCGAGCTTCTACTCATGTTCTGTCTGGGAGTGATCTGCAGCGAGTACACACGTGTCGGATGCGACGAGCGAAGAGTAGTGGTGGAGAGGTGGTATGGTGGTAGGGGGGTGGTGGTGGTGGTGGTGGTGGTGGTGGTGGTGGTGGTGTTGGTGGTGTAACGTGCCTCGCTAAGGGTACGAAGATCGCGGAGGACGAAAGGCCGACAGGGAGCCCGCTCCGGTCCAGGCAGCGCCTACGATAAGGTAAGGTCACGAAGGCACTCTGGCTGCCTGGAATGGAAACGACGCAATAGCGACAGGTACACGTTGTACACTTGTTGTATGTACCTACATGTACTTGACAAGATACTCCAGGGTAGATCTCATTCACTGCTCGAACGCTAACACGTGCGACTACATGGCCGCTGTTGACAGGCTGAATGCTCTTGTGTCTGTTGCTATTAATGTGTTGCAGCCGCCGTTGGCGTATAGCTTGACGACTGACCGCCCCATTGCCCCAGACCACTCATTGTCGACTCACTACTGGACTGGGTACCTGGAACACCCCGCCAATGCTGCACACTCCTCACTCCCTCGCTCGACTGCCACCACGACCGCTACACACCACCAGCACGACCGTCACTTGATTGACAGGACTCAGAACCGCACAGAATCGACCCGTGCATACGAAAGCAGCCTCGCCGACGTTGTGGTCACGATCGCACTCCCAGGCCCTAGAAGCCTCTCCTCCGTCCCTCACCGCAGCTCCGATGCAGACGCAACGCAGCTACAACCCGCTCTTCAAGCGCCCTGGGCCACACGACGCACACCCAGGTCGCTCGCCGTCACCACCATTACGCTACGTTGAGCCACTGTCGCCCAAGAAGCCTACGCCGCTGGAACCGAGCTACAACTACCCAGCACTCAACAACCATGTGAACTATGAGGTGCGCCCGGAAGCGCAATACGAGAGCACACCGCAGCGGAAGCAGCGTAGTAGTAGTTTCAAGAGCAAGCACCACAAGACCCCATCTACAATCGACACACTCGCAGAGGCAGCGTTGGCTCTTAGTCCAGTACAGAACAATACGCAGGCCAGTCCAGTATGGAACGGGTTCAGATATCCTCCACTACCGCGCCCGAGGAGTGGCACCAACGAGCCACCGCACAAACGGACTCGCTCAGAGGTATATCCTTCCTCACTGGTTGGGCAGTATACTTCGCGACCGGCAACCAGCTACCAGCAAGGTAACACTCGGGCGCGAGTCGCCATACCGCAGTCGCAGGCGCAGGCGCATTCGCACGCGGGAGATGCATACGACAGTCGAGTCGAAGAAGCTGCGCTTCTGCTGAACTTCCGCACAGGCGGGTGGCCTACGAACCAGTCGAGACTTGCGTCACAATCGATTGCGACGGAGCACACAGCTGCTGGACTCAGGCCTCACGCGAACAGCTTTCCACAGGATCCTCAGCACAGCCGGCCTACCGATCTCGGAGCCAATGCTACGCTATTGCCTCCTTTCAACCCCCAGGCAACTCGTCTGCCACGGCCTACATTACCGTCACCGAAGCAGTCAATCAAAGCGTCCGCCGGTAGTCCCCCCGTGAGCGCGACGCATGCGCTAACACCAGAGAAGCACGGGAGACTTGTCAAACATGCTCCCCGTCACTCCCAGATCGACATCGAAATGCCGGATGCCTTGCAGGACACCTCTACATCACTTGATCGTGATGGTCCTCAAGATGTCAGTGCCGACATCACTATGACTGAAACGTTGGAGGGCGCAGTCAGAACGACCTCGAAGAAGATCACAACGAAGAGCAAGGCACGCGCATCAGGAACCCGAAAGAGCGTAGTTGAAAGGACAGCTACGAAGCGGGCAGCTTCCCGCAAGAAGACGCCGGAGGCACTGAAGGCAGGTAAAGCTGGTGGTCAGACAGCGGATTGGTCGGCGATTAAGCCCGATGCAAATCGAAGAAAGAGCTTTGGTGAAGCCGTGCAGGCTCTCACTGTGAAAGAACAGCTGCAGCGTGGACTGTCTGTTCCGCCGGAAGTGCCCATGGTCGTTCGATCTGTGCCACGTTCCAAGGACCTGAAGCCATCAAGGAAGGATAAGGAGGTCACGGCGGAGACTGTGTGTGCCGGCTGCGAGACGGCTCGTCTGACAGCGAAAGCGAATCCGGAGCTGGACGAATGGATATGCTGCAACGGGTGTAAGAAGTGGTTCCATGTGGACTGCGCTGGATTTACCAAGGCTTCAGAGGTGCGCGACGTCGACAAGTTCTTCTGCAAAGGCTGCGAGCCTACACATGGAAAGACCACATATGTCCGCAAGAGCTCGCGAGCGCACGCTTCGGTAGATTACGCCGAGCTTCAGCGAGGTGTATTGAAGACTAGCGAAGAGAGCATGGAACATCACTATGTGCAACCCATCAAGGACGGCACCTTCCAATTCGATCCCGAGAGCTTCCCACGTATGCGACCAGAACTAGTCACCAGGGCCTTCTTAGAGAAAAGTGGCGCTTTTACAGAGCCTATATGCATACCGGCAGAGTGGAATCCACGACCGTGGCTGCGTAAAAGGCAGCAACAGAAAGAGCGAGACGACTTTACGGATATCGATGCAGATCATCATATGGCAGATCTGGCGACAGATGAATATGAGTACGATGCAGTGCCTGACGACGGCCAGGATAAGCTGGATATGGTCATGCCCGAGGACCTCACTGTGCGACAGGTGTGCAATCTGGCAGGGCCAGACACCCCTTTGGACGTGATCGATGTCAAGACGCAGAATTCTGGAGCGAAGTGGACGCTCAACCGCTGGGCCGACTACTACGAAGAGACTGGTGACGATAAACCAATTCGCAATGTCATCTCATTGGAAGTGTCGCACACCAAGCTTGGCCGACTTCTCCGCCGCCCGAAGGTAGTACGTGACATCGATTTGCAGGATGAGGTCTGGCCACAGGAGGAGAGGGACAAGGGCAAGTGGCCCAAAGTACAGTTTTACTGCCTCATGTCTGCCGCAGACAGCTACACCGACTTCCATATCGACTTTGGGGGCAGTAGCGTGTACTATCATATCCTGAAAGGCAAGAAAACATTTTTCTTCATTCCACCCAAGGCGAAACATCTCAAGGCGTATGAAGAGTGGAACGACAGCCCACAGCAAAATTATACATTCTTGCCCAACATCACGGGCGAGTGCTACCGAGTCGACCTCCACGAAGGAGATACGATGCTCATTCCCTCTGGATGGATACATGCGGTCTGGACGCCGGCAACCAGCCTGGTCATTGGTGGCAACTTCCTCACGAGAATGTCCTTCAAAAATCAATTTCGGGTCGTTGACATCGAGAAAGCGAACGAGACACCGATGAAATTTCGGTATCCATTCTTCCAGAAGATCATGTGGTATACGGCGATCAAGTATATGAAGGATGATCCTATGCCTGAAGAAGTCTCGCAGGCATTCCAGGAGGGTCAACGCTTCGACCGACAAACGCCAGTTTGGGCTGATTTCGATGGAGACATTGCCGCGAATGATGGCCGTCCTGGGACAAAGAACGCCCGCTACTATAGCCAAGCTGAGGTCGATGGTCTGCCCGAACTGGTCACTTTCATCTTCCAAACTGTTATGCTGGTGATGGGTCGTGTTGAAGGCATCACCCAAGACCGCATGAAGCGAGTCAATGCTTCCATCCCAAAAGGGCATGGCGAGCCGCTCGAGGTCGCCAAGAGATTCGCTTTATGGGTTGCATGGAAGCGCGGGAATGAAGATCCTCCAGCTTGGGCGCATCCAGATGCTGTAATTCCAAACAGCAAAGAAGAAGGGCCACCGAAGAAGTTGTCCACGCGCGCGTTGAAAGAAATGGAGCGGAAGGAAGCGATCGCCGCGGGGAGAGTCGCGCCGGACCGACAAAGTGCAAGGGTGAAAAACGCCACGGCTGCCACTAGCATTTCGACATCAGCAGCGGGCGCTAGCGTGGTAACCGCAACTCCTGATCGCGCGACGAGTTTTGCTCCATCATCAAAACCATCAACAACTGGAACCCAACATCCCAGCATCGCGGAGCCGCATCAAAATATGGCCGTACAGGCGCCACAGATGGCGGCGCCGACGGCTTTCATGATGAACGCGATGCCAGGCCAATACCTCAGCACACCGAAAACTTCCGTGCTCGGGCCCAAGCGCGTCGCATGCGATGTATGTCGGAAACGCAGAATTCGATGCAAGCACAAGGACATGGTCATGCAATTATCACCAGAGCATATCAACGGCTTCGCAAACCAAAATGGGTCCCCAAATATGATGAATGGTTATACGGGTCAGGAAATCCATGACACCATCACAGTCACGCCACCCAAGACTAACCATCACTTTGCAGCAGATGCATCAAATGGCACACATGTGAATGGCGCCAATGGCTCAGGACCGCTGCCTGGCACGAATGCGTACATCAATGCCAATATTCCGATGACTATGAATGGCGTTCCCATATTTGGCGATTCGGGAAAGCGCGGTAGGACGAAGGCTTGCATTGAATGCAGGAAGTCCAAGGTAATATTGGGCGTTGCTGAGTGTGGCCATTGACTGACGATTCCTTCAGAGGCGCTGTGTTCATGACGAGAATGGAAACGTAGATCCTGTGAAGGCCGCAGAGGCACCTGTGCCACGGGGCTCAATCGCCAATAAGAAGCACTCAATCGATGGCGACAATACTCCTACACAAATCAAGAAAAACTCGAATTCGAGGAGTCCGAGTCACTCTGTGCAGCATGCACACGAATTCCAGCACGAGCAAGCCTCGGAAGTGCACGAACCTTCGCCACAGTCTCACTTCCAGCAGCCCACTGGAAACGGAGTCAAATACCCGCCGCAATCTTATCACTCGTCTCCGGAAGAGGACCGCTCGCCATCGCAACATTCGCACTTGGCGCCCGAGCAGCAGCATCTTGGTCAGGCGTCGCTAGACCCGCACCTCTTCGCATATCCAGAACCTGAGTCAAATGAGCCCGTTCATTACGGAAGCAACGGTTTTCCATATCCGGCGCCAGAGAGACCACAAATTTATAGTCTTCCTTCGCTGGAACAGATTGCAAACGAAGTGCTTGACATGAACGCCGACTACAGACACGATCCGACGGAGCACGTCCACGTGTACGATCCGAGTGACATAGGCGTATCGGACCACTCGAAAGCAGATGAGAGCGTCGACTCTGCGATCTCGCTGCCGGGGAGCGATGCACTGGACAGCAAGCCTGAGCAGAGTACAACTGTCGACTCTTCCGTTGCCCAGCCTTCTGTCGAGAATGCAGCAAATGCGCGACCCAGTACACCGACTGCACAGACATCCCCCACGTTACAAAAGAGTCATGTGAGCGACCTGCCACTCTATCGACCCCCTGCTCCACTTTCAGCCTCTCCCGAGCAGACTCGGCGCCCTATTGTGAACGGCAACGCACAGCACTCTCCAGCCAAGCGCAAACGAGACTCGATGTCCCGCACGACTGATCAGACAAGTCCTAAACGAGCGAAGACCGGCTCCTCATTTGCAGAGTGCGGTCTGCCTTCTGCCTCTGATGGTGACGCTGAGCTAGCAAGAGCTCTTCAAGCTGAAAACAATGGCCTCCGCCGACGCACGAGTGTCGCAGGCAGGTAGCCTCACGTGATGAGCGTAACGCGATTAAGGTTGATCTCCACTCCGGGCTTTGTACAAATGGCTGAGGCAACGGTTGATGAATGGCACTGTGGACTGGCGTTGGGGTAAACTGAGGAAGAGGAGATAATGCTACGACAGCACCATTTCTCGCTCATTCCGGTATGTACAGTACGAATAGACAGACAGTCCCACGCAGGAATCTCGAGATAGAGGAAACACAGGCATCCAAGTCAGCTGCGATGAGCTTTGGCTTGCGCGTTGTCAGATTTTGAACATACGCTTCAACCACGCCTTCAACCTTCATATCCTTACTGAAATGGACGATTGTCTATCATGGTTAGTGGCAGTGGCTGCTTCGCCCTTACAAAGGAATTCTCTAAAGGCGAATGATAGCTGCTACTCAAGGGGTTCTTAGAGTGAAACCTCGAGGACAGAGAGGGGCTTTCTTTGATGTGGGAAGATAGTGATCATTATGCTGTCGCAGTATATATCCATGATCTTCATCAACAAACGAGACATCTCAGAAATCCATGCTATCGTCTTCGCGTTCACGCTTTCCTCGACTCTCTTCCTTCAACAGATTCGCAACATGCCCTCTGAAATACTCCACATAGGGCTTCAGGCTGGTCTTTTGCCAGTCTTGGACTTTTGCCTTTTGCTCCTCGCTCAGGCTTGAGCCCTGGTTCTTGTCCCACTGGTCAATCTCATCTAGGAGATCCGTCACCAGAGGCACCTTGAACGGGTCGAACTCCTCCAACCGCCTCATATCTATGGGCACACAGACGCGACCTGTGCCCGGATGAATGACGAATGGTGACTTGAGCAGATGGTTGAGCTTCTTGGAGACCTCAGCATCCAGACGGGGGTAGGTGTACTCCAGTCTGACGTCTTGTTTTGCCTCCACCAGCTGCTTTGTGGATAATGTGCTCAGACTGCCAGCCTCGGCCAGCGCGTCTATGTCTGACCACTTCTGAGTCGAAGTACGATTGCTCGCAGAGTCCCATTTCTTCTTCAATGCAGAGGTAAGCTTTTCGTCTGGGATTAGACTCAAAAGCTTCTCGATGCGTTCGTCTTCCTGCCACGGATCCTGCTCCGCGAGTATGTCTTCCTTGAAATACGGCGTCAAAATATTGAGACTTCTTTCGATGTGCGGATGCAAGGGACGTCGTCGTAGCATTCTTTTCGAGTTCTCATTGCCTTTCAATACTTCCAAGTAGTTGGCAACAGCCTTGCGTTTGCTATCATTCATCTCCCGAGCGCGCTTGTCACTGATCCATGCGTGTGCACCTCTTCGGCCGGAGTAGACCCACATGATATGCTGGAAGCCGAAATCTTCTCGCAGCGCGGTGTCGATGACCTTGATGGCCATGACGATGAACCTCCAGCACTTCTTGCAGATCTTTGTGCCCGAGCAACACGTACGAATGGGATCGTAATCTGTCATATCGATATCGAAAACCAGCTCTTTCATCACAGGCTTGAATTTGGAAGCGCTTTTGAGTGACTTGCGGTCTTTCGGGTTTATGTTGTACTGCGGTCCGATTTCGAATCGCTCTGGCGCCATTTGCACGCATTGTTTGCGCAGGAGGTCTGCAGATGGAAATGACAAGTATCGAATGACTCTGTTCTCTGGCAACCAGAACGAAAACTCTCGATTTTGGAAGTCCGGTTGGGGTGTTGCGGAGTGGTTGAGCCATTGAAACAAGGATCGAAAAGGACATAGACGCGAGTAGTATTGCTTCAGCGTTTCTGGCTCAGCGAACTTTGGTTTGGGTGCTGACTGTGGTTGATGTATTGGGTGTTCACTGGCGTCTGGTTTAGGCGCACTGGAGGAGAACTCGTCGTCGTCGTCGTCGTCGTCATCGTCGAACATGTCATCCAAGCCGTTACTCGCTGCTGCAGCTTTGGGCGTGTCGCCTGCCATGTCTACATCCCCATCGCTCTCAGCACCGACTCGAGAAGACGCGTCAGGTAGCGCGATATCCTCCTCCGTGCTGGGACTATCACTTGTTGACGATGTGGCGTGAGGCATGTCCGCTGTTGCTTTTGCCGTTATCGTGGTCGCCGTCGTCGTCGTCGTCGTCGTGGGCGGTGCTGTAGATTGAGGGAGGGTCAGGGTGATGCTGTTGCTGAGGAGAACGGGATGGGTCGGTGTCGTGTCGTGAGTCTCGTGACGTGACGTGAATCTTCGCGTCGACGCGTCGCGACTTCTATTTAGAACTAGCGCGCTTCTTCCGCCCACAGCGCCTGCCGAAATCTTGGACTTCCCCACGTCTCACGACTCACGAGTGTCGACAGACTCGACACCACTCCCCCAGATCACAGACCTCGTCCACCCAAAACACTCCGCCGACTGCTGCAGTTGCGGCATCCATATCAACAACGGCGCAAGACAATCTCGCAGACGGCGAGGGCGAAATATCAGATGACGACAACTTCTATGGTATGCTGCTGTCCCATGACATCAGCCCCGTCGCTGTTTAAGATCGGCGACGGGGATGCGAGATGCGAGGACAGCCTGCGAGAAGGCAGCGCGGCGGGATTTTGAAGAGTGCATACCATGCGCCAGTGGCTCAGGCGGCAAGGAAGAAGGCCTCGTCTTCTCTCCGCCATCTCTTCACTCTCTGCGGTACCTCTGCTCAAAGATGAAGCGCACAGCAAAATACCAGCCTCGAGCTTTTTTTGGGAGGGGGAAAGAGAGAAACAGAAAGAGAGCACGTGCTCATATTGAATATCGAGACGGTAACGATGCGGAAATGGACGACCCTACAAACCCCTACAGGCCAACCTCCGGATCTCGTCGAAGTTCCAGATCGCTGGACCGGCCATGACAGCGCTTGGCAGCGCAATGAGTGCTGCTCGAAGCTTTTGAGCAACGACGAGTCGGCATCGAGAGAGCATCTTCTGGCGAAGCCCCGGGCATGAATTACACGGACAAAGATGCCGTATCGGGACCAACTTGCGAGCAATCTGCCTGTACATGCAGTGTCGACTGGCGTGACCACTGGAAAACGGATGCTCTTCCTTGGCACACCGTATCTTCCTCGCTCCTGGCGATATTTCGACAATTTCATGGACGGATCGTCTACCGTCGTGATTCCTTACATGCCGAGTGACGATCTCGAGCAAGGATTTTGCTTGTCTTAGAAAGTGTTAAAGCTGGAACGATACCTGCTGACTCTTCAAGTAGGAGTTTGACGACTGCGACTTCCGAGGGTAAGCTTGGTCCAACATCTGAAGCTGCTGTCTACATTAAACAGAATCCCGAGACGACGGTCATTCGCATTCACAGCGAAGAATTCTCCAATGCTGATGATGTCCACCGCGTGCTGGACGAGCTCGTCAACCTCAATGTCCGCTTTGCAGAATGCAAAAGGGTTTACTACAAGTGCGATGCCCCTATCCACCCCCGGACCTTTTCGAGTAACAGTTACAAGCTTCGAGCCAGCCTCTATTCAAGTAAGGATATTCTAGGCCTCGAGAACAAGGCCACTGCTGTTGCTCCTTCATCAAGGCCGAACAAGCGCGACAGGGAGATGGCCGACATCTTGCCAATGTTCAGTGATAACATTTCTCAGGAGCACGATATCCTATTGGCGTTGCTTCATATTTTACAAAGGTTTCCTACAATGACAGAGAAGCGCTTTTGCTATCGGCATGTCGGCATTTGAGCTGCTGATAACGGCAGTGAAGATTGACCACGAGGGTACATGTATAATGAAAGTATTGTGGCCGTTCTTTGGGCACTGTCTGGACAAAGCAGTGAGTACTGTCATGGCAAATGATCTAGAACAAGCTGAACCTCGACGGGATCTGTATTCTCGGCATTTGATTACGGCTCCTGCGCATCCAAGTAGTGCACCTTGCCGACGAGTGAAGGGACTAGGTATGGCGCAAGGAACATGTCAGCCCAAATGTGGCTGTCGTACGTTAAGCTGCCTGCAGGGATGTCCTCCACTCATTCCTTGCAAGATGTACTCTTCACCTTGTCGGACTTCAAGCCGCAGCCGACGTGGTTTCCCTGCCCACGCATCGGCCAGTGGGACTATTCAGGCTAATCCATCCACTCGGATATCGATATCGGCCATCCTCCTTCACTTGCTGGACGATCGAAGAACGTCGCGAGTGTTCCTAGCACAAGCCCATATTGCTCTATAGTACTGCACTTGGTGTGGTATGCGCTCAGCTCGTATTCGCGGGCCATGGTATGTGATTGGACTTCGACTTAGGGCTCGGTCTGAGCGCAACTGGAGCCACCGCACTTCTCGCCGCAATGGCGAGCTGGCTCACTCTCGTTTGACTCTAGTGTGGTGAAGCAGAGCAGACTGAAATGTGGGCATCTGGGCATGCGAGCCTGCGCTTTGGACTTCGCCTTGAGGTTCGCAGATTCCTATCTGGAGCCACCGCACTTCGCACCGTCATAGCGACCTAACCCAGTCTTATTATTGTACGGTAGTATTGAAAACCATAGCAAACCAAAGTCGGGGTGTGCGAGTCTGCGAAGCGCTCCGTTGAGCGCTGCTGGTCGATCTAGAGCCATGTCAGGTGACGCTGCAGAGGGCTTGCAGTATCGGCTGTATCTTTCTCCGGGGAAGTGATCCAACATGCACGTTGCCGAGCGTTCAACAGCGTTGGTACCATGCGTCCGAAAATTCACCGATAAAACTCTCCCACTTCCAGGGATTCGGTATATCAAACTCTATTTCTATCACCGCACAAGGGGCACAGCGCGTTGGTTGGTGATGGTTGCCTTCGCTCTCAATGGTGCTGTCCCTGCAGGTCTATTCTTGTCAGGCGTCTGCTTTTTCCTCGCGGGATGTTCAGCTCGCGCCGCATACCGCATCCAGGTGCTCGGCTGGTGCAGTGAATCCATGGCTTGCACATTGCGTGCGCGGAATAGTGTAAGTGCATTGAATTTGAACTAACATATTCCAGGCTCGGATCAGCAGACTGGTCTCTGGGATCGACGTAAAGCAGTGTTCGGAGTATCTCATCTCGACGGAACTCGAGGTGTACACCATACACGAACGTTACCTGGCCAGACCACCTAGGTAAAAGGTTACGATTGCTGCATGAGGCATAACTTTTGGTACGCCTCCGCACCCAGATCCCTGCGTGCCGACGGAGCATGTCATTGTTGGAGGTGAAGCTCCAAGGGTGGTGAGAACAAAAAACGACCAGTATGGCACCGTAGCTACGACGTTTTACGTTCCTACGACGAGTCAGAGTGTCGCAAATATGTTGCGCTGTTTCGCGTGGTGTTGTCGAGCTGTGTGTGCATGGAGATGTTGTTCTTCAAATATCAGGATTCCCATGCTTCACCTCTCCGCATCGGGTCAAAATCACGAAACTGAACCGTGGAACATCCATGTCAGCTGGTGTCAACCTGACTCGCTAGCCTTCGTGGTTGGTTTTATCGTCACCTACGAGCCCGTAAGGGAGTACACGAGAGTGTATCGCAGGGTCGTTGCCGATTGTGAGCCGTCTATGCCGCCACCAAGCAATTGACGCCAATGGCTTGGCGTGAACCAAGCGGTGCTCTTAGCCTGACGAGCAAGGCATGCGCTGGTTGGGCAAGCTCTTCACATATTTCCGACATGGTCAGGCAGTGAAAGTAGGGTCAAGCGATTGATCCTTGAAACCAGAGATAAGTTGTGTCACAAGACGACAGGATAGGACAGCTCTTCTCACCGAGCCGCGGAGCCCACAGCACGCCAGCACGCCAGCACGCACGCACGTACGCACGCAGTGGCTTCACGCAGTCCAGGCGAGAGCTCATACAAGGAGAAGCGGTGCACTGATCCTTGTGGTGGAGACCTTGCCAGCTCACGTCAGTAGCCGCCAATGCAGCTTGGACATTAAATGTCAATTTGCTGTGATGGGTTAAGTGACATCGATTGGCCGCAGCTAGCTCGCTGTCGGCAAAGCTGAGTTCGACGTTACAATACTACAATGCATGGGCAAGTGAAACTAGAAACTTCTGCTCACTTCAAGGAGGAGCGGGCGGCCCGCAATAGCCCTGGCTATGCAATGGTGCTTAGAAGACAGTACTGTATTTGCAGAATACAACATCCCACGCATGTTCAATCCGGCTCGCGTAAGCATCGGTCAATACTATGGCCCCACAAGTACCAGTAAGTGGTCGTGCTAGTCACTGCTCTGCAAAAGTACTTGATCTGATTACAACTTCCAGGCCTTGGCTCAGTCAGAATCAAAAGCTCGCTTTTTCGCACGGTTAGGACTCGACCTCACCAATGGCACGCACAGACGGGTGTACAACCTGATGAAGGTATGTCACATTTGGAGAATCTGAGTCACTGCATCGCGTACTGACGTTGTTGGAATGTAGATGGAGGCCGCCGATGGCCGCAGGAGACTTCTCGAAAACCAGGCCGGCAGCACAGCTCAGATTCACGAAACTGCATGGCAGAACGAAGTGTTGAGAATATATAACGACGCTCAGCCTCAAACTCGCGCCGTTTATCAATTTGGCCACGATCTTGCCGATCCCCAAGCTCCCGATAACTGGATCATCAGATGGATGCTTTGGCATGTATTTCGTTATCGCGACTATCGCAACAAGCAGCAGCGATCGACGAACGAGGCCGGCTCGGGGGACGGGGACGAGGACGAATATGGGTCTGATCAGCCGTTAACCCGCGAGAGCAGTGGCTCGCGAAAGGGTAGTGCGAGTTCGACTGTTGTAGCAAGCAGCAATCAGCACGGTGGGTGTGCCGAAGCAAGATACGATAATGAGCAATGCTAATCATACTTGCAGGCGCAGAGACCGGCTCCAGCTCACGGTCATACTGGGACCCGGTACGCAATCCATAATCTGATCCTGCACGAACGGCAGCGCTGCATATCAGTGGCTGGTCGATGCAAAGCTCTCGCGTGCTGATTTCCCGGGTATCAACGTGTTTTTACTGTGCCGGCTTCCAGGTCTCAATGACGGCCTTCTCTTCAATACTATATCCCCCACGGTATACGCGCACTTGCAGAAGAGCTCGTGCCGCCGGCTTCATTCTCGTGCGCGAACGAGCGGTCATCTACACCCGGGGCCTGACTGTGGTCACAGTGACTTCGATGGATCCGGGTACAAAGATTGCTGTACAGGAGTGTAGCTGAGAAAGCCATGCAGCTCTGCCATAACGTACTAAAGACTGCAAAAGAGTCGTAGAAGGAAGCAAACTAGAGAACAGTCGCAAGTTTCTGCAACCAGAGTTGTGCACTCCATCTCATCATGCCCCGATATATGCCAATATTCGTCCCCTCTCAACTCCCAACCACCAACGAGAGTTGAGCCAACGAGAGTTGAGAATGATTGGTCTCGGTTGAAGATGCTTCGATGGACAGAGCCCCCATGGGCAATGTTGCACCCCGAGCAGTAGCCGTGATAGGGCTGCTACAGCAGCAAGTGTCCGAACAACTTTGACGAGAATTTTTGGTGCTTTGGCCAGGGCGCGGCAGGTGTTCGATGGCGATGTGCGGCTGTGGGAATCGGGGTTCGAGTAGAAGGTGAACAGCGGGGAGTTGTTCGGACGTGTAGACGTCTCAATAAGCATCACGGGCCTGCATTCATTGCAGCGGAAGCAGCAAGAAGTCTGTCTGCAAGCGAGGGTCGGACATCGGTTGAGCGCATGCCTTGATCTGCTGGGTAAGGTAGGTCTGCTCAGGCTGGGACGATAAACATTATTTCCCACGGTCACGTCCGGTAATTTCAGTGTGAGGTTGTCGGCGCAAGCCCAGCCCAGTGGTAGCTTTTCCTCAGAATCAGATAGGGAAGCGAAGGGCGAAGCCAAATTCGACATGCTTTTCGCTCTGGAAGTAGCTAGGCCCGCCGGGACCATGCCTCGGGACTATTACGATTAGGAGTTCACCGGCTTTCACCGTGGAAAGCTGGTTTGTCTGGACTCTGCTACCTCCTATACACGGTATCTTCAACATCCGATGAAGAGCAAATCTCGGCACTGTCGCTAAGCGGTATCGATCCGAAATACCCGACAAGGAAAAAGATCCAGATGCGATGGGAGGCCTAGCTTTGCTTTTCTATCTCGCCCAAATTCCACGATAATCAATCTGGTGAAGGTTGCGGTGCCTCGAGGGGGGGCATATATGTCAGGTATCCTCACAATGGGAGGAGATTTCGTTTCTTCTCGACCAATGATCCTAGTGGCTTATGGAAGATGTGAACCAGAAATTTGGAGGCAAGCTAGTAGCTAGTTGTCGGAAGTTGAGAATATAACTCATAATAACTCATGTAATCTCTTTCAATTTCTCTCTCCCTCTCTCGTATTGCGCAACCATGGCATGAACTCAAAATACTTGGATTAATTGGACACATCAAGGATACATACATACATACAATGCTTGTGATTCTGTTCGACCCTACGACGTCGTATCGCAGATGAAAGGAGAGAAAAAAAAGAAAATAAACGAACGAGGTTTTGTGGAGAAGAGTGGATCCAGGTAGGTAGGTAGGTAGGTAGGTAAGGTAGGTAGCAACCTTTTTTTTTTCTGTGCGTGTGTCTCTCTCTGTGTGTGTGTGATTTCCACTCTGAGGTATCACATCATCATCGTCATCAGCAGCAGCAGCAGCAGCAGCATCATAATCACCATCATCATCAGCATCATCAGCATCATCAGCATCATCAGCATCATCGTCATCATCATCATCATCGTCATCATCATCATCATTTTGAAAAGAAAAAAAAATCCCCGTACGGATGCGCAGGCCTGTCTGTTTGTATGCGATCAGACGATTGAGATTTTTCTCGGATGTCGATATTAAGTATATCGGTTGTGTGTACGCCCACGTACCCCAAGGGAAAAAGCAACCAGGCAGCCAGAGGAAGAGAGTTTGCTGAGAAATCATCGGTGTAGGGAGATCTTTCACCCAGGTTGTATCGACGGAAACAGAGCAGAGTATGGTATCGACGATTGCTACTAAAAAGCGGTATGGAAATGTAGGTGCGGCGACGGACCTTCGAGGGAGGAGCCTTAGGGGGAAAAGACAAATCCAACCAAGAAGAATGTACCTCCGTACCTCTCTCTCTTACTTTCCTATGGAGGTAGCGCTCAATCGAAGAACCAATGTTCACGGCTATATACGAGCGGGCACTAGCGGTTGGACGTTCATCAACAACCAGGAGCACACAAACACGAAAAGTCATGAAAGTTGCGTCACGCCACGCATACGCATGCTTTTTCGTTTTCCTTCTTTAGGCTAGCTGTTGCTGGAAGTGGAATCCGCTCACGTGGGGGGCTAAGGCCTCGTCATTCTTGCAATTCATCAGGCTGTTACCTCCGTAGGGGGTATGAAACCTGGAGAATTCTCAGGGTTTAGTGGGAATCGACGATGCCTACGAGACATACTTTGGAAGCACAAGTTGATATATACGCGCTGTTCCCCATTGGCTGCCATCGACCTTGTCAGCTAGGAGGTAGTAATATCAAGCTTTTGGGGTAAGACCTAGAACACGTGCTTAACGCAGGACGGGTTCCTGTATAAAGGTGGTGAAGCGTTGCAGACGTGCAATATTCGCCAGTTCCCGGGGCAGGACGTCCTACTACTGGCCCGCTTGAAAATACTGGCTAAAAAGGATTTGCGAGTACGATGCCCCTGAACATCTTCCGTCTATGTTATGCAGCCAGTCTTTGGGGTTACCATGCTCATGTTCAAGGTTGTTTTTTTTCCGACAAGGTCGGTTGGCTGCTTTTTTTCTTTTCTGTTTCTTTCATACCTGACACATCCAACCCACTCCCCCGGTTGTCGTTACATGACATGCGACGATCACGACCAGTAGCACAAAGCACGAGCCTATACGAAGAAGCTCCAAATTTCTTTGCCCCATAGGTTGCTCTGGACCCGTATCGCAAGGAGAGCTCTTTGTGAATGAGGGCGCCAAAAAGGGTGCCGCTATGTGCAGACGCGGGTGGAGGTGAAGTCCAAAAATCCCAAAGATGGGGATCACCCATGTCGAAAAGGCTAAAACTTTTAGCGCGCGAGAATTAGCCGGGAACCATATGGCACCGCTTTGCTCGTGTCAGCAGACAGCAACATTAAAAAGCAGTCTTGCATTTTCGTGTTCTCCGAACAGCAATTGCATAAATGCACCTCGCTCCATCGAGGGCAGTTCGAAACGCACTTGCCATGAGCGACATGTCCCCGTCCTTCCTCGGGCATTGGACAATGGACATCGAGGATCAAAGGTCATCGTGGCCTGCTATCCGTTTCGCACGCGGGTTATGAGCGGTCGTGCCACGAAAATGGTAGTGCTGCAGCGTTTCAATGAATTCAAGCGGAGAGCAGTCAATTCGTTCTTTGCCCTTGTTCATCCTGGCCTTGATCTTTGTGAAAGGACGCCTGATGAATAGCAGATTGCAGCATCATGATCAACACAGTCTTCCTCGTAGCGTTCCTTGATGTGTTCTGCGAAATTCAGCTGCTGGAATCTAGGCTCGTTCTCAAAGGCATACCGCAGTCCAAGATGATCGAAACCATCCACCTGCTCCGCTAGCTTGCTGGTTAGATCATTCACGACAGCCAACCAGGTCTCGCCCATCTCGAAACGCACTCTTGACGGCTCAACTCGAAAGCATGGCGTGTTGCCAGCTTTACATCGAAAGACTTGGCGGATCTGGGCCGCACCTTCAAAACTGTAAAAGGGACACACCATCTTCGAGTCCAGTAGGAGAGATAGCATTCTCGAGTCCAGTTCCAGGGTATACTTGGATCTATGGCGATGCTCTGGGTCCATTACTGGTCAAAGCTGCTTTGCAGCTCGCATCAGGATCGCCTCAACTCTGCGCGATACAGGTATCTTTCGTGGTTGCATACGGTGTAAACCCATATCATTGTTCCAGACGGCGGTGAAGCAGGTAATACAGACGGTGCAGGTCCGTAGCTAGTCGAGCTTGAGTCGCCTTGGATTTCTCCCTCGCCGTTGCCGGATATCGGAGTAGTCTCATGTGCGCGGAGTATCTTGGGGATAGGATGATGCTTCACGTCGCTAGCATAAGACAACGCGGTCCGATGGGTATCATCATGGTATCATTGGTCTTCGAGGTTGTGGTAAGTGAACTGTGAGGGTCGGCCGATAGGTAGATATTGTAGATTTGAAACGTGCTCAGAGCTCAGCTCAGGTGTCTGTAAGGTACAGAAACGAAACGCCTCGGGCCGCGGCCCGCGGGCAGTGGGAAGCGGGAACTGGTTATAATAACTCCGCTGAAACACTCTGACTCTCTGAGGTTGGAGCAACGTTTGAACGTGCTTGCCACGCGTACCGGGTTTTGAACATCTCCCCTTCGTTGACTCTCTACCTCCACTGACATGGGCGTCCGCGCGTGGAGTCTCTAGACAAGCCTTGTGCGTGCCAGTGGACGCTGGGATCAGACATGCTCGAGGCGCGCAGGTTCTTGGCAATTATACTAGCATTAGTCTCGCTTCTATGCCTAGGAGGACTCTGGGGTGCTCGCTACCCATATTCGACTCCTGGTGTGGTGCCCTTGGTACCGGTTCCAGTAAACGAGCAAAACCGCTGCCCGACAATCAGCGAGCTACAAGATCACATCACGCTGCCGAACACTTTCCAGTATGGCTTCCGAAAGATCAGAAGCAGGACTGCAGAGACGCCTTCCACGCAGGGATCTATTGTCAGGCTGGATCAACAGGACTTGATGCCAGAATTGGTCACTTTCGACACTGAGACGTGTTCTACCTTGGAGAATAGTGATCCCTGGGGTCACGGCGAAGATGAAATCATCGTGGACTCTTTTCCTGCAACTGCATATAACGTGGATCATTCAACACTCTTGCTTGGTGTCTCTACATCCCTTGAGCGCCTAGAAAATGCCATGCCACAGCTGACGCAATGGCTGAGCGGAACCAACGCCTCTCTGGTGGTCAATGTTGCCGACAGTGATGGCAACGACGGCAACATGAGCATAATCCAGGACAAGATGATGAGTTTGGGGATCGAAGTCACTCTGCTACCGAATGCGGACGATGCTCAGCCAAATGGCAGGAGAAAGCCTGACCGCCATGGTCAAAGACACTTCAGTATTGTAAAGCAGCTACAGCGGCAGCGAGGACCACACCACAAATGGTTCGGGATCATTGACGATGATACGTTCTTCCCTTCCTTGTCAGCTGTTATTACTGCACTGCAAAAGTACGACCCTGAGCAGCCACACTATATCGGCGGTTTGTCAGAAGACTTGAATACTATGAAAATGGAATTTGGGTACATGGCATATGGTGGGGCAGGTATCTTCATCTCTGGACCACTTCTCGACACGCTTCTGGAGCACTTCGACGAGTGTGTGAACCTAGAAAACGAAGGAGACATGATCTATCGAGAGTGCGTGTACAGATACACGTATCCACCCGTACAGTTGACCGTACTGCCTGGCCTGCACCAGCTGGACTTTCGAGGAGATGCGAGTGGGTGGTATGAAGCCGGACCCCATCCGCTTTTGAGCTTGCATCACTGGAACAGTAAATGGTTCTACCTATATCCCATCCACTACGGGTACCTCGTCTCGAAGACCTGCGGTGAACCATGTTTTCTGCAAAGATATCGCTTTGCAGATGACGCGATCCTCACAAACGGGTACAGTGTGGCGCAATATCCAGGAGGTGTTGACCACTTGGAGCTGGAGCGTGTAGAGGCGACTTTCATGCACGACGCGAAAGATCCCGACCAGTGGGAATTCAGCTTAGGCAGACTTCGGCCCCGGCTGAAAGCCAGTGAGAAAATCAGTTGGCGTCTGGAGTATGCCGTGGAAGAGCAGGATGGGAGGATTCGTCAATTCTACATCTATCGTGCCGGGAATGCTGTATTTGACAGTGAACGGTTGAAGCAGAATGTCACGGGCGTTCTCGAGCTGGAGTGGATCAAATAGCCGATCTGGTGTAATACACAGGTGTATAATTACTGTATAAAATCAGTCTATTCTATCAGAAGGAAGGAGAGCGGCACCAGGCAGACGCGTCGCGTCTGGAAGCGCGTACTACCTACGTCGAGGGCACTGGTGACATCACCATCGTGTGGACGCGTTTTAATGGCGCTCATCACAATTGAACTTCCATTGAAAAATCGAGCGATTTGCCTCTCATCTCCATCCTTTCCCTTACACTTCTACTGAGAAGAGGCTGAGAGTACTAAACCTTCCGGTCCTTTGATAGAATCCTCACTACTCACCACCCCCAGTCTCAATCACTGCCGAACCAACAAATAAGCCCTCAACATGGCTCCGAACCGATCAACTCCTAAGAAAGCCACGAATGGCACAAAGCGCAAAGCCGATGATCAGACCAGTCCAGCTCAACCGGAGCGCCCTCAAAAAGACCAGAAGACGCTCGAAGAGACTCTCAAGCCTACTGAGGGTGTGGATGATGAAGGTTTCGACGAGGAGATGAAGGACGATGAGCCGAATCATGCGCCGACCACCAAGAGCAAAAGCGAGGAGCAGCAGGGTAGCATTGAAGAAGAGGTGAATGCTGGTGATCAGGTCGAAGAACCTCTTGAGCAGACTGAGAATGAGGAGAGTAAGGAGCAGCAGGAAAAGAATGGGGACAAGAGTGCATTTGACGAGGTCAAGGCAGATGAGACTGATGGGGACACTATGAGCGTAAAGGTCAGCTTCAGCTTTCATGAGATGATATGTTCTCGATTGATAGCACGTGCACTGACCATCCGTGCAGGATAAGAGTAGCAAAGAGGCCACTACCAATGAGGTGAAGGAAGATGCGATCACACAAGACTCGGAACGGGAGCAAGCACAGCCATCGAACGTGCTAGAAAAGGGAGTCATTTACTTTTTTACGCGTGGGCGCGTGGGCGTGGAAGATCCGGACAGTGTTCAAGACATTGCTCGCAGCTACTTCGTGTTGCGTCCTCTAGCCGCTGGCGCAAAGATAACAGATGGATCGGTCCAGGTAGATCTAGCCTCTTCCTGCGCTTCCTTCTACAGACACGGCTAACTTGGTGACAGGACATTGGCAACAACCGCCTCATTGCACTGCCCAAGAAAGTATTCCCTAAGAATGGTAAGGATCGATTCATGGCATTCGTCGAGAAGGAAAAGGCGACGATGGCCACTCTCAAGGAGGAGTTCTTCTCCGGATCTTCCTACAGCACCAAGACTGTTGGTACCCGCCACACGCCTGATATCACACCACTGGGCGAGGGAGTGTATGCCATCACTTCCACCGGCGGCGGTCAAGGCACGACGCATCTTGCGTACATGCTCACGATCCCATTCAGGGTCGGCGAGGTGCAAAAGGACATCGGTCTCGGGGAGAAAGGCAGTTTCGTCATGAGCTTGAAGAATCCAGAGTCTGGTGCTCCTTCCTACGCTCTGCCCAATACTGCCGAGTTTCCCAAGGAGATCATCGAAGAGTTTGGTGGTCGCGGGTGGATGCCAATTCAGCCCAAGCACCTCGACTATGCGAACTCGGCTTTCTTGCTGATAGGAGAGGACTTCGACTCTAGCAACAATCTTGAACCAGCTGCAAAAGATGAACAGAACGATGATAAGGAAACTCCCCAAGAGGAGCTCGAGAAGCTTGAACAAGAAGACGAGCAGCGCGTTGAGAATCTTCGAGGCGACGACACGATCTTCGCTGATCTGCGCATTTCATCCCAGGAGTATCCCAAGGTGCTCACGACCTGGTGAATCTTTCTGAGGTGATTCAAGAAGAGACGCCATAATTCAATAGAGCGAGCGAAGCGAAGAACCTGTTCCAGCTGAGCACGAAGTTTATCCAGATCTGTATATCATTTTGACCGGGCAGTTGAGCAACAGGAGACGGGAATGGCGCTGTCTCACTGCAACGCGAAGTCGGAGGCCAGGCGAATTGGGCGCCAGTCCGCCAGAGGAGGTTTGTCAGTCTGCAGCTATACCCAACGAGACCATGTGAAATAGAAAAGCCGCGAAGGTGTAGGCGCTCAACATGAAACATCAGCGCGCTGTGCCTGCGGGTGCCAGTCGCGTCTCACCACATGGCTTGCGATCATTTTGATGCTTGCACGCTGCCGTCGTGGCTTCGACACCAATCAGTGGCCAGAAGCGTGCTTTTGCTTGTCAGCAGACTAGCGAGCGAGACCCGCACAGCAGCGAGAGTTGCAAGACCCCGCCAAACAGTGGTAAGGTAGACCTCTCCGTAGGGATGTGTACCCTGGCCTGGCGCTACCACGACGAGCTCGGGGGCGTCCACACTTCATCAGGCACCTGGTCTATCCTGTCTATCCTGTCGTCCATTCTCGTGAGATTCTTGTAGAACCCGACGCGGAAAAGCACCATTTGTTCTGACCATCCAACGTTCCCGGGGACTTGTTGGACCAACTCCCCTTTCCTTTGCTTGTTGGACACTTGACTCAGTAGCGCAAGCACCCTACGTCACGCTCAACGGCGGCTAGAGATCCGTGCTAGGAGGGAGTAGTGAGTGATATAGATCTACCCTCTGCTGCGGGCGGCCGCATGCTGTTCGACAGAGACAGCAACTCCGTTCACCGTGCATCAAATCGGCAACCCCTACAGTCCCCCCATTATCGACCCGCCTTCTCCTACACCCGCCCTCTCCATCTCTCTCTCTCTCTCTCGCTCTCCCTCTCTCTTTCTCTCTATCCTGGACGACGACGGCGATCCAGGACCCACTACGATCCCCGTATTAGACCGCCGCGAGCTGGATTGGCAGCAGAGGTGCGTATCAGAGAAGCTCCAATCCTCTGCGCTGTGGGGCATGAGGTGGCACGTGGCAGATGTGCGAGGCTGCGTTGCATTCCGCAGAGGGACAGAGGCCCATTGTTGGATGATCATATCCGGAAATTTGGCTGACGCTGTGTCACAACAGAAAGCAGGAACCAAAAGAGTCCGAATCGAATTGATCAGCGCGGAGAAGGCTCGCTCGAGAACAACAATCGCACCCTCCTCCGAACACCACTACCACCATCACCACCACCACCACTTCCACCTACACCACCTACACCACCGCCCACGTGAGGCAATAGCGACGGGCCGGCCGAAAGCATGTCTCGCCAACCGCAGCAACAGCAGGGCGGCTCGCGGAAGATCTCCTTCAATGTGTCGGAGCAGTACGATATTCAGGATGTGGTGGGCGAAGGCGCATACGGAGTCGTCTGCTCGGCGCTGCACAAGCCGTCAGGACAGAAGGTGGCTATCAAAAAGATCACGCCGTTCGACCACTCCATGTTCTGCTTGCGAACCCTGCGCGAGATGAAGCTGCTCCGCTACTTCAACCACGAAAATGTCATCTCTATCTTGGACATCCAGAAGCCACGCAGCTACGAGAGCTTCTCCGAGGTCTACCTCATCCAGGAGCTCATGGAGACCGACATGCACAGAGTCATTCGCACCCAAGAGCTGTCCGATGACCATTGCCAATACTTCATCTACCAGACACTACGGGCACTCAAGGCCATGCACTCAGCCAACGTCCTGCACCGAGATCTGAAGCCTTCGAACCTTCTGCTCAACGCTAATTGCGATTTGAAAGTCTGCGACTTTGGCCTTGCGCGATCCGCCGCGAGCACAGAAGACAACCAAGGGTTCATGACGGAGTATGTGGCGACGCGCTGGTACCGCGCGCCGGAGATCATGCTCACGTTCAAGGAGTACACAAAGGCCATTGATGTGTGGTCGGTCGGCTGTATCTTGGCCGAGATGCTGAGCGGGAAGCCACTGTTTCCCGGTAAGGACTACCACCACCAGCTTACGCTCATCCTGGACGTGCTGGGTACGCCTACGATGGAAGACTACTATGGAATCAAGTCGAGGAGAGCACGAGAATACATTCGCAGTCTGCCGTTCAAGAAGAAGATTCCGTGGACTGCCATGTTCCCCAAGACCTCAGACTTGGCACTGGACCTCCTTGAGAAGCTTCTCGCTTTCAACCCGGCGAAGCGCATTACAGTCGAGGAGGCATTGAAGCACCCATACCTGGAGCCCTACCACGACCCCGAAGACGAGCCCACGGCAGACCCTATTCCGGAGGAGTTTTTCGATTTCGACAAAAACAAGGACAACTTGTCCAAAGAGCAGCTGAAGCGTGAGTGGAATACTCGCCAAGTACTGACAGCACGCATGCATTGCTAACCAATGCAATCCAGGTCTGATCTACGAGGAAATCATGCGGTAAACTCACGAGACCATCCCCTCCAACCATCTATCTACGAATTTTCTTTTATTTTTCTCTCTATTCATCTATCAAAAGCTGCCATCTACTACAAATCTACAAAAGTATTACATATCGCTACCTCCTTCACCACTGGTACTAATTGATCTTCTGCAGAGACCACTTCATTGCCGCCCCGATGCAGTACGACCGGCGCAACAGCACTCTCATCGACCCAGCATCATCACCACGCAAGCATTTCAGTCCTCCCATTTCTCTTGGTGACGGCGACATTCCCATTTGTTATGACAATGACGATGATCAAGACGACTCCCACGACGATTCTGGTGCCCATGGTACACTCTGGAAGGGCCGGCAATGCTTTTCACGATGACATGTGGAGGATGCGGCAGTGAGTGAAGATGGAGATTGTGCAGCCTGTACGCCTTGGTATAAGACTTTACTTCGCTGGCTCTCCTGATGAATCTGCCGTGTCCTCTGTTTTTGGGTGGTGTTTTAGGGTCACTGGGGGACGCGAGTTGTGGTGGATGGAGGGGGCTTTTGCTTGGGAGTATCTGTCGATGACTGTTCCCGGTAAATGTCACGAGCGATGGCAAGTTAGATGCATTGCATGGCGCTTTTTTTTCTTTTCTTTTCAAGAGGGAAAGGACGTGTGGATAAGCTACGAAAGAGCAACTGAAGAGGAAGTAAGCAAGCAATGATGAATGAAATACGGTTGCTGCGTACGCTAATACAGATTTTGATAACCGGGCATATCTCAATCGCTCCGAGGGGGACTTGCTCCTCTGGGGGAAATAATTGTGAGCTTGTTGTGTGAAAGTTTGGTTCGTGAGGGTAGGGTATTGAGACTCGTGGCCTTGGCTGGCGATCTTCCTATCTCTGTCCCAGACAAGTCTTGTATGCCTTCCAGGTCTTTATCATCGCCCAATACAGAGGAATAGGTCGTTGTCAAGATGACCTTTCAAGAGAGCATGGAGGTAAAACTTCGTGATGATAATAAGGTACATGTAGGTACCGAGTCAACCTGACTTCTTCAATGCCGATAGTCCTATTTCTGGTTCTGGACGTCTTCCTCGGCCCAATAAGGTTATACAGTCGGGCAGTCAGTCCCCTTCTTCAATGCCGATGGTTCTATTTTTTCTTAATCCCAGACGTCCTCTTCCTCGGTTCACAATGAGATTCATCTGTATAGTCTAGTCCACTGCCGCATGGTACCGACGACGACGGGTAAGATGTAGGTATTCCAGACCTGGCCTTTGTCCCTTGTTTCTTTTTTGGCAGCACCCAGCAGCCGTGCTTGGGAACCGTGATGATTTAGTGACGTACGTGACGAATATCGTAGGTTTCAATCGACGGACATGGAAAGGTAGCAGCAGCTACATATAATGTAGTCGTTCATCCTTCTTGAACTACATTACATTGCTTTGCTTTGCACACTCACAGAGGAAGAAAAAATACCTAGTACAGTCAGCAGTCTTGTCACAATGGGTTTCGATGAAGCAGCTTTCGACCGGGATATCAAGGATGTCCACTTGATTTACGACTACGATGCCCAGAACGTGAAGACGGGCGAGCCAGAGAAGTGGAAGTATGAGATGTGGTTCTACAGCAAGGTGAGTGACAGTCTCTCCTCGAGGCCTCCGAGAACCATCATCCATGTTCTTCTGACGATTTACTGAACCCATTCTTACTATCATGAAATATAGACCCGCATCGTCTACGCCATCCACGGCGGCCCCATGGCCGGCCGCAAAAACTTCCAAACCGCCGAGTACCAATGCATCCGGCCCGGAGAACTCTGGCAGTGCAACTGGCTCGAAGAGACGGGCACCATCTGCAGTATGGTGTACGATATCAAACAAGGACGTATTACCACTCTCTTGGGCTTCTCCAAGGGCCATTGGGAGAAGGCGGAAGAGGCGCATGGCGATAAGCGCAATCCCAAGGACTTGGAAAGATGGCGCGGATTGGCGAAGATTGGGTCTTCGCAGACGGATAGACATATGTTGTCGGAGCAGGCGATCATCTCGGAGTCTTTTCGTGGAAAGGGCGAGTTGGAGCCAATTGAGGAGAGTTGGCCGACTTTGTAGGGGAGAGCGTATAAAGTATATACCATATGGGATAGAGGATACAACATACAGCGTACTTTACAACTGTACATAACAGTATCTTTTCATTGCACCCATTGAGGCCGGGAGGATTCAATTCCAACAGTGCGTGTCTTCACCTCCCAGTGAGAAGAGTTCTGAAGTTGAGATGTTACCAGGTAGCTTCTTCGCTTCGTCTCTCGTGTGTAGAAGAAGTTTGGCGTACAACTAACTTCCAGTGTACATGTATACATAATATCGTACACTCGATTGCTGCAATAAGAGTGATGGTATTGGTGCACATGTCACGCTGTGATCCGCTCGTGCCAAGGCGATTGTCGATGCCGATCCAGACCCATCTCCTCCCTCCTCTCGTTGCGCTCGTGGAAGTTCTCACTCTTTTGTTTATTACTTAATTATTTAATTATTCATCCTTCACCTCACTATCCTCTCTCTATGACCTGCATACCAATGTCCTCTCCCTCCAACTTCGTACAGCACGCGTAGTGACTTCTGTCGTGGCGACCCGGTTTCCGATCGGCAAGCGCCCTCTCGCGGCGCCTAAACAGCATCCTCCATGCAACACCAGCAGCTTGAAACACCCGCTATGCGTTCCCCTCCATCCATTTTTAAGCCTCCAGCCCGTATATGCTCGACACTGTCGACACCGTTGGCGCACGATGCATCGATGTAAGTCGGCTTGTGGTAAACGGGCGTCTACGAATGACCAGTCCATCGCAGTCGTGGTTCCATAGGCGCCTCGTCCCTTGATTATTGTTCTACTAACATAATGGCAACTCCATCGCCTGTACACAACTTCATCTCTGGGAGCATCCTCCGTGCGCTGCCTTTGGCAATCTGCTAGGGTCTGGTACCATGTTATTAGCGTGCGAGACACTGATGAACCATCTACAAAAACCATAATGCAAAGGCGTCAACATCCTGCGCTGGACGAGGACAACGACGACGACAATGATCAGGAGTTCTGGGAGCAAATATGGAGCGAACAGACGGTGCCAAACGACAGCATGGGGGAGCGCGTCTTGGCTACCACTACTGCTGCTACAGACTCGGACGCGAACATTGTATGGTCCACGGCCTATGTGACTGTCTATGTGCCCACATCGACCCGATATATCTCGGTGGCGAACACTTCATCATCATTATCACCATCAACATCATCATCAGAAGTGGCATTGTCAACTCCATCCCAAACGGCGCGATTTTCGTCGACACCGATTGTATTGTCTCCGGGAATCTACTCGGGGCCTGCAAAGTCTACGAGCAAATCTCCCAGGGTAGTGCCAGGATCCTTGGCCACCAGCTCATCAGATTCAGGACCTAGTAAAAGTAGTGCTACATTATCACTTCCGACCGACAATGCACTTTTGAACGCAACATCAAGCAGCAATGCAACCATGGGCAGCATCGCAGAGTCCATGCCGTCGGGACAAAAGCGTGCTATCGTAGGTGGTCTATCGGGAACCATTGCAGGCCTCATTCTCATAGGGCTCCTCATATTTCTGGTGCTGCGCAGACGGCGAAAGCAACAAGAAGCACGCGACTTTGACGAAGACTCCGTGAGCGAGAAGGGAGCCTACTCCTCTGATGTCGTGCAAAAGTGGGGTGGTATCGCCACAGCTACTCCCATCGGTCGAGGCTCACCTAGAGACTCCCAACATCGACCTTCAAGCGCGACCCAGATAGCCGTGGACGAGGAGCACCGCATTATCAGAATGAGCACACGACACTGGCCTCGGCCGTATGCCATGGGAGAAGGCGAAGGCTATAGGGAATCAGTGCCAACTGGGCAGCTCCGTGTCGTCAATCCGGACGTGATGAGGCCAGCCACACCGCGAAGGCCCTCTACCGAGACAGTGGCCAGCTATTTGCGCAGGCAGCAATCGGCCTTAGCGGCATTCTCATTCGGCCTGCCCAAATCCGCCAGGCATTCGCGAATCGAGCAACTTACACGCGCTGGACAGACACCAAGCACCACCATTGCCCTCGTGGATCCGAGTCTGTCGCGAGAATGTGTCGTAGGCACGCCCTCATTCAAGTCCTTTGTTTCCCTGGGATCTTTGCCTACAATACGACAACATCCACCCGAAGATCCCTTCCTTACTCCTCTCCCGGAATGCGATTGCGACGCATTACCACCACTACCACCACCTTCGGCAAGAGGCACGCAACGACGACCGAGTGCAACCCCTCTGCAGCAAAACCCTGCAAATTCGACGAGCAGGACTCTCAGTCAACGCGGCTATAATCTTCTTCTCCAACCCTTCCGACCGAAATCTAGCAATGTGCCCACTGCACAACAGAAGCAGAAGCAAACATATATTTCTTCTCCGACTGACTCATGTCCCCCCTCTTCTTGTTCTTCTTCTCCTTCTTATATTCGAATGTCAGGACGAAGCGATCCTTTTGATCTGGATCACCCGAGCGTCCGCGGAAGCCACATTACCATTACTATGACGGGAGCGGGAGGAGGAGGAGGAGGAGGAGGAATCTCACTATATGAAGGTACCTGATCAACAAGAAAGGACTTGGATCTTGTAACCCATGCATATGTATATCGGGCTCTCCAGCCCTCGGAAATGATGTCTGACGAAAGAAGCAAAGAAATATGATTGATTATCTACATGTAGCTAGCTGGCTAGCTGGCTACTGCATTACATGAGCCTAACCCAGATACCCCCTCCGCACAGGATGTTTTTTTTTTGACATTGTACGAATATATGCTATACTTTGTTACGTTATTGTGCTTGGTTTCTTTCTCCTCCTCTTCTTCTCTTCTCTTTTGATTTGTTTTTGAAATGAGAGAAAAAAATGTATTGAGCGAGGTAGAATTGTTCTAACTGACTAGGAGGATTGTATGGATCCATGCAGGGAGCGAGAGGGAGATGGAGAAGGTACATGTATATACCTACCTACCTCAGGTATACCTATAGACCGGATTGACACAAAGTTCTTCTCTGCCTACCTGTGAGGTAGGCATGTACATACAATCCTTCCTCCCTCCCTTCCTTCCTTTCGTTTTTCGTCAGCGATGATCAATTTTTATCCGAGTTGCTCTCTCTTTATTTTTTTTTCTCTTCTCGTCGTTGTCGTCGTTGTCGTTGTCGTTGTTGTAGAGTTTTTTTTTCTCTTCCCTGTATCTCTTTTGCCATATATAGAAGCCGAATGGTAGATTGCTCGAGCTATTCCACAGAGATTTCGGGGTTGAGAGGCTCTCTTTAAAGACCTCTGGATTGACATGACGAACTGACATGGGACGAGCCGAGCGCAGAATTTTTGATTGGTTGATTGATCGACTTATATTGGTGGGATATATCATATATCTTCAAGTTGAGTCTCATATATCTTCTTCTTCATTCTTCTCATCTTGCTCGTAAAAGCGAGTGGCTTCTCAAGTCCACTTTTTTTTCCCGACAAAAGTCTCCCATCTCGGCCCACCCAATTCCTCTCTCGCACGTCGCTGCAATACCAATTTCTGAGCCGCTTGCGTCAGCATCGTGCTGGGGGGAGCGTAGGAGTCAATGTCCTTGTCATAAGGCCGAGTGAGATACTCTTCTGTAATCTCTTCCATTTTTGTCAAGCTGGCGCCACCTGGGACAATTTGTTCCTCGCCGGTGGTGGGGTTGAACCATTTTCCGCGATCCCATGCGTCCAGAGGCATGTCTTCGAGGCCGTGGGAGACGTTGAGGCGTTTGTACCAGGTGTGTTCGCCTTGGGCGTATTCTCGCATGTGCTGATGTTGTCTTTCACCTTCGGTGTATTTGATTAAGAGGTTTTGTAATACTGCGCGTTTTTCCATGAAATCGTTTACGATTTTCATGCGGCCGAACCAGGAAGGCCAGTTGGTGGCAAAGCCATCTCGTGCTTGATTGGGTCGGCCGGTGCCTATGGATAGCATCAGAGCGGGTTGCTTCGACTTGCCTTCGTACAGTGCGTGGAATTCGCTCAATGCGGCTGCACTGGGATTGTTTTCGCGAATTCCGCCGTCTTTGAAATGTCTTTCTCGCTCGATGCCCAGATCGTCAATGGTGGTTTGCACCATCTGGAAGTAGAACGGAGCGGCGGAGGTGGCGCGAGTTACCTGCCAGATGGGTATGGCGTCCGCGCCTTCGTTGTATCGTGTGATCCAGTTGGGAGTGGACTCGCTGTAGAAATGTGGATATGACCGTAATAAGTACGCTTCGTTGATGTTCTCATTGTGTGTCGCTGTCAAACAGCAAGACTGGCATACGCGAGGCAGGTCCACGTCGAATGGAACAGGCTTGCCCATGTCATCTACTTTGAGGGGAAGTGTCAGCGATAGTGCTCAGGTAGTTTCATTTTGGCGTCTTCTTGCCATCACGTACGCTGATTTGTCTGCAATGGATGTATATCATTCCCATCACAATTTTCGTGGCTGTAGCATCGGCTGCTTACGATATCTTTCACTGCTTGTTCGAGGGGTTCGTGATGATACTTCGTGCGGAGGGGTACTGAACTGCGCCGCTTGCCGAAAAGGTCATCACCCACCTTGCGGTACAGCTCCAGTGCTTCGGTGACTGTCATTCGTAGACGTCCCAGAATGGTCGCAATGAGGCCGCCTGTCGATGTGCCGTACATGAAATCAAAATAGTGGCAGGGCAGCAGTTCTTCTTCTGTCAGAGCTTTCTTCCTCGAGAGGTTGGTGGTGAGCTTGTCTTGCACAACTGTTGTTGCAGCTGCTTGGGGAGCTTTCACGATGTCTGGCAAGTTGGTGTTGATGCCATGCAAGTCGGCAACGTGGTATATATCATTGTCGCGCTCGTCACCAGAGCCGTGTCGACCACGGAGGGCCCCAGCCTGCGCTTGTTCGTCGTTTTCTGCGCTGTAATACGATGTCGGTGTATCGGCTCGCATCTCCGTTGGGCTGTCCGTACGAATATTCACTGTTGAGTGGTTGTCATAATACTGTTCCCAAATCCAAATCTCGTGCATCAACGCTTTTAATATGATCAGACTGCTGTATCCTCTAATCCCACCGCCGTCACATGTCAATATACAAGGATCCCATGCGTCTAGAATTCCTCGTGCCCAGACTCTTCCTGCTTTCTCGGAATCACGTCTCTCTTCTCTCCTGGGTACACTTGCGGCTCGCGATGATACTCTTGTCGGCGACTCTTCTGGAGCAGAGAGCGATGCATTGCTCGCCTCCATGTCTGGGGCAGACCCCAGGAGTGCCCACGGCTTGAACGAAATTGCATCCACTTTGTCACCGCCCTTGAGGGCAAGATGCTACACCTCTTGGGGTCCGCAATTCTATACAGTCTGCCTGCGTCTACTTCTAGTGCCTTGGTCGATAGAAGCTTCGTGGAGAGATGTGTATCCAATCCGGGGATGTCACTTTCAATGATACCTAGTGACTCGATTGTTCTGCCTCGCCCCTCCTCTTTCTATGCGTTGTCTTGAAGTCGAATGCCTGGGCGTACCACGAGATCAGGTGGTTTGTCGGAAAGCGTACTGATTAGGAAAATGAGCTGGTGGAGCGACTGCGTCGTATATCAAGTAAGGCGAGGTAAGCAATTTCGTCTAAAGCGATCACATGGGACAAGAGCTCTTGAAGTATCGAGGGTACTTGTAGCAGTGGACAGGCGGCCTTTTTTGAGTCGCGTCGTCCTGTGATCCGCCCTCTTGCTGGCGGCGGAGCTGCAGATGCTACGCTAACCCGCTGTGCAAGACAGAGAAAACAACCTATTGACAATGCCTAGTGGGGGCGAGTCGAGCAAACATGCGCGCCCTTCGTGGGAATGAGAGGACAGAACCCCCAGAAGCACTCACATTCAGCCTCGTGACGGCCTCGCGCCCCGTTGCTATGATCTTCCACGACCCGCACCGCAGGATGCATTCTATCCTCCGAAGGGCTTAGTTTTCGGTAGGTGCACAGGTGTGGCTCAGGTGCATATTGCGCAAGATGAGCTGATGGCTGCCGAGACTGGAGGAACATACACCAATTGCAAGCGAAATATGCAGTTCGGGTCCTTCTGTCAATATATCTGAGGCTTGCGATAGGCTCGTTTCACAGTGCCTTTCTGTGCGACCCAGTGTACCATTCATCAACCAAGCCGAGCGAGCCTTGCAGACTGTGCCTGATCCTCCCACTGGATCAGTCTTCGCAATTGGCTCCATTCCAGGTAGTCAGGCTCGACCAAAGCGTGACTTTGTCTTTGCAGTACGAGTAATCGCTCTGGAGGAGTAGCTGGTGTCTTCGCAATGATGGGAGATGTAAGTGGAAAGGGTATGTTGTTGGCCACGTTAGGAGGTACCTCCGTAGGTTATGTTCGGACTCCAGGTGGAGATCAGCGGGAGTGGCGCAGCACATTCACTTCACTTGGCCCGCGCGGGAGTTAGTGCCAGACCTAGTAGTACTTCTTAACGAGTGACTTCTACAGTCATCTGCCGCATCTGTACGACAGATTAGATCATCAGCCTGACCAGTCTCGATCACATCCTCAGCCCGCATTGATACCTTGCTTGCCTGACCTTTCAGCTGACGGCATACCTGAGTCCTACAAAGCGCTACAGGCGCACGCCCAACTCAATCTCCGTTTGCTCGATTCCTAAGTTCCGCGCATCTGTCTGACGCAGTCGCCTTCTCCTTGCCCTACCACGAGACTTGCTCTCTCAACAACAAAAACGAAGCCATCGTCTTCGAGCCATTGCATCCATCGTGACTCACTTGCCCATCTGCCCGCCCTTGCCGGGAGGCCGCAACAAAGGCAGAAAAAGGTCACGCTTGCAGGCGGAGAGATGGCGACGACGACACCGCAAATAGACACGGGCGGAGGCTCTACTACCAGGAAGACAACGTTATTGACAGACTCTACGCACAGCAGCGCATCGAGCAGTGCCTCGCGATATGCACTCGACGAGGGAGACACGAGTCCTATCCTCCTGTACAAATATAGAGGGGGCTTACAGACGTCAAGTCAAAAAGACCTATGCGCCTGGCTAGACAGTAAGCAAGCCGCAACCAGTCTGTTTTCTGTGACAGGCCCATCGAGCGCTCAAGACGACTGAGTACTGACACGATGCTTTGCAGAAGACGAGAACTTCCGCGTTACAAAGAAAGAGATTCCGCGACTTTCATCCTACATCGAAGTGAAGCGCCACGACCTCTTCCTCCCCAACGAACAGCGAGAGTTTCGCAACACACCAAACTATGACAGTAGCCTCGCTTCGGTGAAACTGCCTACGTCAGTATACTGGAGTCGCCTGATCTTGGGAGGATACGAGAACCTCTATATCGTGAGCCCTGAAGGTTCGCCTGCGAGTAGCGTTGCGGATGATGAGAGTCGGAGAACGAGTCCGACGACGACTTGGGGGCAAGATAGTATCGAAGATGTGCATATTGGAGCGCCGCAGGACGGGAGCGGTGTGTAGTCATATTTCGTATGTTTCCTTGGGGAATATGCAGTGAGTTTTCACCAACTGATGGTACAGTTGAGTTCAGATGATGAGCTGGTGAAGCCTTGGGAAGGAATGTCTCTGGCCAGCAGCATTATGAGTTTACGACAGAACGAGCGCGGACACAGACGTAATGAATATCTCTGATACCTCGAGATCGTCGTCTTCATGATTACATACATGTACTTCAATTCCCCTGCCGGACTAAGCCTCCGGAACTCTCTGGTTGTCATGGCAGATTGGTGCAAGCTTATCCGCCTGTCAGTCCTTCAACAACAGTCCTCGCTGGTTCCCAAGTACATGTCGGCAAGTCGCTGCCACTCCTTGGGGTGTATGCTGCAATGACATACAACATAACTATGCGCTATCAACCATGTATACGTGGCTACCGGCGAGATATCGTATCGTAAAGATAAATGGTAGCCGCTCTTTAACGAAGTATCGTCCGACGAAATTGTGAAGTAGAAGTACAGTGTATCTCCATTATAATGCATGTGCCGCTATGCTGTCGCGCTCAAATCCAGACATTGAAAAGCACCTCTTCAAGAAGGAATACCAAGAATGGCCAACTTCGTGTGCTTCATCGGTGGCTCTCCCTCCTCATAGTGCAACCGATCACTCTCCCAAGTGATATTGTTGTAAGCATTCATCACGCACCCCACAGTGTTGAAGATGAAGAACAACAAGAACACGAGCCAGTATGCCAGATCGTCGTAGCTGTCCCGCTGAACATATGCTTGAATGAACGTGGGTAAACAAATAATCGCGGTGACCTGTGCATCCATTAGCATCTGCATGATGACCAACCACAGGAACTCAGTTCTGACTCACAATCATCAACCTCTGTAGCCTGACAGAGAGATACAAATACTGTTTTCGATCCTTCAGATTCGCCTCGTCTCTCACCCAACTCGCCCTCTGCGCCATCAGAACCGCAGTCTGCAGCCAAGCCGTAGCCCATAGCACCAGCCATATAGTCGCGCAGGCAATGAAAGAGTGCGAGAAAGTCTTGTCATAACTTCCCAGAGCTGCAGATACGATGCAGAAGATCCAAGACGGGATTGTGAAGCAGTAGAAGAGAACGGCTTCTTGTTTGCGGCCCAGCCCCCAGTGGCGTATGGGCTGGAAGTAGGCATGAGCGGCATGTTGTTCTGCAGTCTCTCCAGGGGCCGGACCATGACCGTCAGGGTGCTCGCGGTGGTACGCTTGTGCTTGTTCGACCGTTGCCATGATGGTGAGAGCGGATGATGGGGGAGAGCGAGTTATTTATGCTGGGGAAGCGTGCTTTCGGGATTCGCGCCTGGAGACGTCGTCGAGAAGGCACTCCTGAGATTCTCTGTGCCTTTTACGTCTTGTTTGCTCACTCTGTCCTGTGATATATCTTTCCGGCCTACCCTGTCTGTCTGTCGGTCTCTGTTCCGGATGACGCAGGGTGTGATGTCTTTGCCCAGGAGGCAATTATACAGCTCGCGTCCTGGAAACAGCCGAAAGCTGCCGGCATCCCTAGCGCTGCAGATCCCTGACTTTCATGTTGATATGACGGGACATGGGAGTAGCATTGCATTGCATTGGACCCGGTCTCTCTGCCCACACACTGCACACAGCAACGACGATGCCGCCAACAGCTTCCTCCATCTCGCACGAAGACGATGGGGCAGAGTTCCAGCCAAGCTCATCCCCCACAGCAGCAGATTGAACTCGCGGGGACGCCGACACCTGATCTGAGCACTGTTGATGCTGACGACGACGCGCTATCCCAGCCCGCAGCGGTAGAACTACAGCCTCCGAAAGTCACCAAGACAGCACCCGCAAAAATACGACCGAAAACGACCAGGAAGCGCACCAGTGACAACACACAGCGACGACTGCGCAGTCCGCAACTTGCTCAGATCGAGGCGTCGGCGGAAATGAGTGAAGAGGAGCTACAACCTCCACGCAAGAAGCGAAAATCACTTCCCAAAGCAGCTCGCATTGACGACGAAGCGCAGCAGGTAAAACAGGAACCTTTCAGTCCGTTGCGCAAAGCGAAACCGCGCGCGCAGGGACGCTCGCGTGCAGTCCCATCGTCGCCGCCACAGGTTGTTATCTCTACGAGCGAGGTTGAGGTAGCAACGCAGGCGCAAGCTCTCAATGATCCGGTTGGTGCGCTGCAGAGACGATTGTCTGGAACGAAAGAACAAGCTTCGCGTGACGCGTCGAACATTACGGCCGAAGGCCAAACCCCTCTGGCTCAGCTGCAACAGCCGAGCAGTGACTGGCTCTTTAAGACTGACGAACCTCTAGCGGAGGCCACTGCATCACAAGAACCAGCTATCGTTGTGGGCATGAAGGAGCCGGTGAAAGACCACGGGGAGGTACAGCAACAGAACGATACGCCGATGCGACTCCAAGGTGACCCAAATCCTGAGCAGGACATCATGGAGGATACCAGAGGAGATGAGATGAAGACTTCGGACACGTGGCCAGCACATCTGGTGCCGGAGCAGCACGAAATCGCAGAACGATGCCAACAGCGCACGCTTACTGTCGGCGATTTGGAGATGGAGCAGCTATTCCAACACCCAATGAACAGATGGGAGCACCACGAAAACTCTCGGAAAGCGGCCCGCAATGTCTTGAGAGGACACATCGTGAATTGGGACCTGGAGCGCTGCGTGTACAAAGGACTGGCCAAGTATGTCGAGGACGAAAATGGCGAGGTTACTATTGTCTATGCTGCGAAGGGCGAAAGGTTTCCAACACCGCACCACTCTAAAGCCGCGAAACGCGAGGCAAAGGCCACGAAAAGGTTTTTGCGAAGCACTCGGGAAGCTCTTCACGCCTCCCTGGTCATGAGTGAGCTTGAGGCTGAGAAGTTCGCCAACGAGCCCGCTCTTGATGATACTGCATCCGACCAGGGCCTCGAATCGGCCGAGGCATTCGATACAGCGCAGTTGACCAATTCTAGCGGCGGCGCAGAAGCAGATGTCATTGATGAAGCTACCAGGGAGGACGTGGAACTAGTTGAACCAGCCGAGCTGAGGTATACCGAGCACGACGAGAACGAGGGAGTTATTATTGAGGAGCAAGCAAATGATGAAACGCTTGATATTCACGAACGGAAAGAGGCTCTCCGGGAGGGCCAGGTTGAGCCCGAGATTGAGACGATGGCAGATAACGCAAGACTGGAGGCAGAAAAAGGCCCTGACGAAGCAGAGGAAGGGGAAGGGGAAGGGGAATCGCAAGAGCAGGAAGTCGCACCAGGACATATACAGAACCGAGAGCTCGACGCAGAAGCAGAGCCAACACTTGAGGCGCCCGTTCGTGCGCAACGCCGCCGCGTGGAGATAGTCGGGGAAGAGTCTGACCTCGAGGTTGATGAAGAAAAGGTTGACGCTACTGGAGAGCAAGACGAGGCTATGAAGGAAGCCGAAACGAGAGATCGAGGACCACCAGCAATTGGGGAAGAAGTGGAAGGAGAGAATGCTCATTGCGAGACGACAGCGAAGCGACGGCCCAAGTCTCGAACTGTCAAGCCGCAAAGTCGGAAGGAGAATAATGCAGATCCACTCATGAAACGACAGAAAAAGGTCAAACAGGTGTCTACCTCCAGGCCTGCACCTGCACCTGCACCTGCAATGACGAGTGAGGAACAATCAACACCAGCAGCACATGCCCCCATCCCTACACCCCCACAATCTCAAAATACGCAACAAGGCCACACCGGAGCTCCACATCCTACGATGGCACAAGTGAAGGACTGGCTTGTAAGTCAATATGAAGAGCCACCGCTCCCACCAGACGAGCTGGCCGCCAAGCCTGCCAAGACCGTCGCCCGAAAGCGAAAACCAAAATCTTCAGATGACGACGCAGAATTCAATCTGCCAGAAAGCGAAGCAGCACCAGAAGGCGATCACGACGTTGCGGCCACATCAGCTCCACCCAAGACCAAGAAGAAGAGAGCCAAGAAGACAGATCACACTGCGAAGACTGATATGTCTGAGAATATTGAGGATGTGTCTCGGCCTTCCAAGGCCAAAAAACGGAAGTTGAACGAAGCTCAGTCTGCCGAGCCCAAACGCCGGGTGACTATGAGCGGACCCTACACGCACGAAGAACAGGAAACGGCCGACAATATCTTCATGAGGGTGCTGGATCGGGAAGGTCTACATGAAGCTGACCTCATTGCACAAATCAAGAATTGGAAGACATGCTGTGTCAGCTTCAAGACAGCCATGTTCGACGCATTCTCGGATCGCACAGTGGACTCTGTTCGCAAGTTCTGTCAGCGTCGATGGCACGGTCAACAACGTGGTCCATGGACGCAGGAAGAAGACGATGCACTGCGAGCTGCGCACGCAAGTCAGCCCGGAAAGTGGACTGTGATCAGTGATTCCGTTGGCAGGTCTGCTCAGGACTGCAAGGATCGCTGGCGAAACCACCTTGAGTTCGGCCCCAAGACGGTGGGCCCGTGGACTGTGGAGGAGGAAGAGAAGCTCATGGCGGCAGTGGAAGAGTGCATTGACATCATCAAGAAGGAGAAAAGCGACGACCTTGGGCTCATTCAAGACCCCGAGCGCCTGGCAACATTGGTCAATTGGGGCGTGGTGTCCCAAAAATTCCATGGACAACGGTATCCGGCGCGTTGTCGCGAGAAGTATGCCAACATGATTGCGCTTGGCAGAAATAGGACTCACAAGCGCAAAAGCGGGACTAGCAGTTTGGAAAATCGAGGCGATGAAGATCCACGCCATATCCTCAGCGCCAGACGTATCGTGGACGGGTTCGAGATTGGAGACTACTACGATGTGTTCGTCGAGATACATTCTTCATTCGATGATCCTCACCAGCACTTTCGCGACGACAAGCATATGATGTGGTCTATTGTGTCGACGAAAAACCTGCACAGCCGCTTTGCTCTCTACTCGAAACCCAGCTGCTTGCGACGTGTCGCCTTGGAGCGAGCCATTGCGACGTGGCCAGCCAATAATGCCAAGATCAGGAAGAGACTCGCAAGGGTTGACACCATGCCTGCGAAAGCTTTAGTCCTAGCAGAGTGGGTCGAGAAGACCAATGCCGGACGACTTGATAGTATGACAAGAACCTACCGGCCGGAGCTGATCGGCAAGAGCAAGGAAGAGCTGAGTGAAATGAAGCAAGCTCGCAAGAAGGAGTACTTACAGAGGCGCAAGAAGTATGATAAGTCAGAAGCCTATGTGCATGATTCCGAAGACGATGAAGTCGATGGAAACGATGAAAACGATCCGATAGACTCCCATGAGGCTCACGTCCCATCTGCGGTGCTCAACGAGGGCGAAGACGAGACACCCAGCGAGGATAGCAACGAGGAGGATGAAGATGAGGCGTTGACTGCGAACAAGGAAAGTGGCGACAACGAAGAAGAAGAAGAAGACGATGGATTCTCCGAGGTCACGCAGGAAGTTCCAGCTTCGCAGTTCTTACCTTCGCAAACTCTACCTCAGGACGATGACATTAGAATGGCCGATGTTGAAAGTTTGCAAGGCACGCCCAATATCAGCCCATCGGGCTTTGTCAACAGACTGAAGTCTAGTGGGAGCAGTAGACGCAAGACGGTTGGCTACAGCAAGAAGAATGCATTCAAGGCAAAGCCACTCCGGCAATCTGGCTTCTGAAAAACGAGTACATGATGGCAATGATGCAGGACCGGCAGGGCGGTATTTGTTCACCGACATGCACCAGATGCAACAGAGGCTGCGTCCACAATGTTACGAGTTACGAACTACTTACGACCTCCCACACACACACACACACACACACACACACACACACACACAGGACAGAGATCGATAGGATGCCTATGGACATGAGGTAGTAGTGTACAGTCTCGAGATTACAATATCCATGTGGACCGCTGATCCATTATTGCCTGCGCCGGCGTATACACACCATGACCATTCGAGCCATCGCATCGCGGTAGGAAGGCCGTGAGAAGTCGTCATCAGTCCTGCACGATAGACGAGGCTGCATCGGTCGCCCCGCCGTACAAGAAGCGCTTGACTCCACTTCCCGTGCAAGCCGCAACGACGAAAAGAAGCAGAAGCTGCAGAAGGACCTAACATTTCAGGTTAGTAGGCGGGGGCGTGGGAGAGTCACTCGAGGAGTCACTTATTTAGTGCCTCCTTGCATTCAGTGATGATTGATTTCTTGACTAGGCTGATCCCAAAACAGAGAAAGGGAGAGAGGGGAATCATCTGATACGTCACGCCTCATGCCTATTCCAGAGAGAGGGAGAGGGGAGAATCATCTGAGATGTAACGCCTCATGCCTATTCCAGAAAGAGAGAGAGATGGAGAGAGAGAGAGGGAGTGGATGTGTATGTGTGAAACGGCTCGCCACTCGCATCGGGGAATCCTCCCCGGGCGGAGAATTTGTATCGAATTGGTGGAGTTGGGAGTGAAAATTGAATGGGCATGGAATACCTCCTCGGAAAGGGCCACATGGTCTTCCCGGAAAGATCTCTTCATGTCATGCATCAGATGGACAACATCACACTCCATTTTGCACAAAGCGACTGGCTGATAAGGCTAGGAGGTAGAGAAAAGAGAGAAGTGAGGTTTCACCTTGGGGTACATTTCACGTGTCGGCGCGGCGCTTATTCTCAATTCAGTAGACGCAGAGGGCATGGGTTCCCGGTGCCGTGGTGTCGGTTCCCCATGGGCGTCTGCAACTGTCATACGCATCGGCTCCGCTTTGGGGGGATGAGTATCGTCATTATCTACCTTGCCTTATCTGTACTCTTCGTAGACGATGGGAAGGAAAGTACAGGTATGTTTGACTTGCTTGGAGAGTCGAGAGTTTAGGGGAAAAACAGTTTGAAGGGCAAGGTATGTACTGTTTACCTTATTGACAAGCCCGCTTACCAGGAAGGTCAAGTGAATTGCGAACTCCCCTTTTTTTACCCATTCGAGGATTCCAACGCCTATCACAACAATCATGTATGTACATGTACCTAACAGAAGGAGGGGTATACGAGAGAAGTTGTCTTCAATCGGGAAAAGCTGCAGATTACATCTACCATCATCCTTCTACATAACATCTATGTCACACATTTATCCCGCCACTCTGGCTGGGGCGCATACAGTAGAAAATTCGTATCGAAGCCCCACCCCCTCCCCTTCCAAGCCTATGGTATGTACCTGATGTAGCACAAGGGCGCGCCTAGATGCGTGCTGGAGCAGCCGGTCGGCGCTCACACATCATCACACATGGCCGATGCATACCTAACATGTACCTGCATGTCGTGGCGGATCCGGTAGTTATGTGTGTGTGTATGGCCCACTCACATTAGGAGTTAGCTGTGTGGATGAATGCAGTGGAAGGCTTCTTTTTTACCTTCTTCTTCTTCTTCGTCTTGTTCTTCTTGTTCTTCTTCTTCTGTTACAGTACAACTGCCCTGCTCTTGGTCTCTCTCCATTGAGAATTATCGCATACCTACCTACGTACTTGTCTCTTTTTTCACCCCAATCGAGGGAGCTGTCCTGTCCTGTCCTGTCTATCGACTTGACCTGATTTCTTCTAGATCTTCTTTCATCTCGGGACTCTACTCGATTCGATCGTCTCTCCTGGGGTACTTCACTCGAAACTACACCTTTATTTCTCTCTTTTCGTTTTGATTCCCGGATGATCATGTCGGGACACTCCGAGATATAGTAGTATCATGATTGCCAGGCGATCGCGATATCTTCTTTCTCGCTCCCTCTTCTCTGGCTTTCTTGCTACTTGAGGTTGCCCCTCTCCCTCCTCTGCCCGTCTACAAATCATCAACCTTCCGCTGTCGAACCCCTCCCCCAAAAAGAAGGACTTGGACTACGACCTACCTACCTACCTACCTACACATACATACACACACACACTTCCTGGAGCTTTTTTTTTCTTCGACAAAAGAAAAAGCAATGCCAATCACCACAATCGATCCATCCGTGTTCGCCACCTGGCCAACTCCCAACTATATCAATCCAGTAACACGAACATGGATGCCAGGATTTCTTCTCGTCTGGCAAATTGCAGCCACCATCATGGTCGCAGGGAGATTTTACCTACGAGCGAGAAAATTAGCGGGAACGTTTGGTTATGATGATCTTCTCATCTGCTTTGGTTGGGTGAGTTAATCAAACTTTTTAGCGGAATTCTTTTTTGTTGTGTGTGCGAGAGGGGGAGACTTTTCTGTTACTGACGAGTAGATTGTTTTTTGTAGTTGTGCTCTATTGGATTGACGACGGCGACGTGGATTGATACGAAAGATTTCGGTCTGGATAGACATGTTTGGGATATAAAGATTGAATGGGCAGTGGAAGCTGCAAAGGTATGCAACTTCTTCTTCTTCTTCTTCTTCTTCTTCTTCTTCTTCCATTGAAAGAAAATTGATTTCGAAGATGGGGCCACTGATTCAGTCTTTTGCAGGTCGGTTGGATCGCTCAGTTATTCTTCGTGGTGGGAACCGTCTGCACGAAACTCTCGATCCTGCTCTTCCATCGCCGCATGATCAAAGCTACCGTGGACCGTCGATGGCTATGGGCCCTTCGAGCGGCCTTTGCCTTCACCTGCTGCTACGGCATCGGTACGCTGCTCGGATACTTGCTCTCGTGCCGACCCTTGGACGCGCTCTGGCGCGCGTACGACCCGTCATACAGCACAGAGTACACTTGCATGTCGAGCCCTGATCTTGGACTTGTAGCAGGTGTTCTCAGCGTCGTCAGCGATGTCATCGCGGTGCTCTTGCCATGCTTGATGCTCCATCATTACAATCTGGACATTTCACGCAAGCAAAAGATTTTCTTAAACGCCACTTTCTGCTTGGGATTGGTCGCCACGGGCGCCGGCATAGCACGTACAGTGTACATGTGGAAGATCCACTACGTTGCCGACCAGACCTGGACAGGACATACTCTTTTCGCGTGGTCCATCGTCGAGACGGAATTGGCCATCATCTGCGCATGCGCACCTTCCCTTCGTGCCTTTTTCCGGAGATATCTTCTGGACACGATCATGAGAACGTGCAGCAGCGGCGGCGTATCACATTACGCCAATGGTGGTGGTGAAGGTGGTTGTAGTCAAAAGGGCTCTTTCCATAGCATGGACTACGCACCAACGGACATGCACAGGAGAGGCTTTAGCGAGTTGGAACAGCTCGAATCAGGACTTCGTGGAATCCAGTTCCCGCCACTGGTGATGATGAAGGAATCAAATCGCACGTCATGTATCAGTCAGAGCTCGGGGCCGATGCTGTGTGCTTTCAATCAGACGAAAAAACTGCCTCCGTCGCCGAAATGTACGACACCAGACGAATACGAGTCGCATGTCAATAATCGGTTGAGTAGACATGGCACGGCCATTCTGGGGAGACAGTCGAGGACGGAGTCCATACTGATCAGGATGGATCATTGGGTGGATCAGAGTAGTATTTGTGGGCAGAGCCATGACAGAAGTCATAATGCTGATGACGATGATGACGACGACGACGACGACGACGATGATGATGTTGGCAGCCGTAGAGATGTAGAGAAGATGGTAAGAACAGCGAGTTGAAACACCAGTAAACTTGATGTCGTTTTTCCATGATGGTTTTGTATGAACTTCGTCTTGGGATGCTGAACTGCCTGCTTGCCTGCCTTGTAATCTATGAAGCTGTCATTGTTCAATGATGTTTCTGCGCTCGTTGTTCGCTGGACCGCCAACGCAGTCAGCGTGCGAAATGCTCCGATTCACATTTCGTTGCTGATGCAACCAACCCGACGTGTTTCAGGTTGTAATTTTGTAGGCCTCGACTGTGCTACGTGATTCGAGTTTCGAGTTGGCATCCAAAGCCAGAGATTGCCAAATGTGCTTGGCATATCATGTCGAGAAGAGCATCATCGTACATCGTGTGCCACTCGTCTAGAACGCCTTATTCATAGCCGCATGCGCCAATTCCACGCCTAGGAACGTTGCGGCGTTCGCTGGCACAGCTCTGGCCATTGCAGGTCCCACACCCGGGAAGAATGCCTTGAAACCTCCACGCCCATACAGCTCTTTGACGCATGCTGAGATGGACTGTGCCTTGTCCGCAGACTGTAATCTCGACTTGACAGTGTCGACTGGGAATACGGTTGCCCACATGGCCACACCGGCCGCACCACCAGCAGCCATAATCGCCGTCAAACTCATCTGACCTGGCTTTCCCGTATCTGGATCCTTCGGCGTCAACTTCCTCTTCAGGATCTCGTACGTGGCAAAGTATGCTGCACTGCCAGGCCCATCACGCGCAAGTGTCATGACACTGCCGCGGTATACTGATTTGATACCTCCCTCCTTGTATAGTTGTCTCACGACATCTCCGCCACCAGAATACCGAGGCTTCTCCCCAGGTTTCAGCTCTTTTTGGCCTTGAATCTGAAGGATGATTTTGACGCGTTCAAAGGGTGCTGTGATGGCTGTCATGGGAATGGCGGAGAAGAAACCGGCAGCGCAGACTTGTCCGACGCTGTATTGACCATTCTCAACGGTGGAGAAGCGGTCGACGAGTTGTTTGCCTACACCGTATGCCCAAAAGTTCACGGCGACTAGTTTGGGGGAAGAGAATCTAATGTCAGACAGATTGCTAGCACGGCGGGTGCGTGGGCTGTGGGAAGGACTCACACATAGGCGTCACACCCACCAGAGGCGCAGAGACACCTGCGTATAAACCTCGCACTGGGCCTTCCCTCGCAATTGTCTTCCGCACCACGTCCATGGCTCCAGTGTAGACTCCCTTCTCGGCGGTTTGTAACCGCACTTTGACGAGGTCAAAGGGGTGGCCGACCACCACGGCACATACTCCTCCCACTCCTCCTGCTATCAGATCTCGCAAGCTCTGATATGCGCGTTTCCCCGTCTCCTCTGTCATCTCCTTGAGCTCTGTGCTTGACGTGGGCACCGCTTGTTTGGCATCTTGGAGCGCCTTTCCTGCGCTACCTTTGATCTCGTCTGCACTAGGCACCTGTTGCCTCAGAGCTGCTGCCTTGTCCTTTGCAAACTCCTTGAGGTTGTCTGCTGGAGAAGATGTCATGCTGGGCTACGCCCGCGGGTCCGCTAGGGTATCGTGTATTCGTGTTCTCGCTGGGGAATTGGAGTGGCCAAGAGGGACCTAGTTTGACAGGACGACAGCAGCGGGATGAGAATTCACTTGTCTCCTTTGCACAGAGACAAGAAGGAAGGAATACTGCTGAATGAGGTTTTCGGCGTGGGAAAACTATCCAGCTATAGCCAGCCAGCATCCGGAGCTTGCTTCTGCAGCCGAGGTTCGCAATTCTCCCATCCAGCCATCCGAGCGTCGACCGAGAGCCGTACGTCCCATAACTATCCGGTCGGTCACTGGCTCTTGTCAACTCGAACAGTCCATCAGGTCTCCAAATAAATGATTACTTCACATGGTCAACGAAGGCTAAGACGTCACGACTCCTATACCCCCCCCATTAACAACAAAAACTACTGCCACAACGACCAATTTCGTACAGTGTACTCCGTCTTACTCTTCACATGCGTTTTTCTTGGCATCATTTGCCGACTAAGCTTTGCGTCCCGGACCGGATACGGCACGCATGTGACGATAGCTAGCTTCGAAAATTGCTGACAACACGTGTACAGTGGCCGAAATGTTCGACACTTCTTCCATGCATCGTTGAGTGGGGGGTCAAGGGGAAGAGTATCGTGCCTCATTCAGCGAAGAAGCTACTGAGGAGAACTTTTGGCCAGGTCAGTGAAAACTTCTTTACACTGACGAATATGCATCTCGCACTCCTTCTTACACCTACATGTAGCAACTGCTTGGTAGTCACAGATGTGCTTCTTGATCAAAGAACTCCGCAAGCAGTCGATGCGAATAGATCCCGCCTGATAGCGCTGACTGTTGTACACACGGATTGTCGTCAAGCAGTTGACAATCATTAGGATGTAGCTCACGAGCATATTGGCTGAGCATCTGCTGGGCTCACGGGCGACATGGCAAGGTGTGTTTAGCTGGATCGTGACCCGTAACGAGAGGCTTTCGCGTTCGCCTCAGTGGCTGCCACTTGCAAGAGCGTGGCAGAAATGCTGAGTTGCCACAACAACGTGGCAATGTCTCCTGGAAGGCCTGGCATACCCTGGAAGGCGTGGCGTATCTTAGGAGGCGTAGGGATCCAGGTGGCGAAAGGAGGTTCCTGCAGACCAAACGGAGAGAGGAGGAGCTGAAATCGACGATGGACGTACCTCCTAGCTGGTCTGTCTACAGCGTAACGGCACGCCGCTGCAGCCTTTTCTAGGACAGATCATTCTCGGACTCTGCGATCACCGCACGAGACTCATTGTACATGCTTGGATACCATTACGGGGCTGATTCTTGGAAGTAGATAGTGAAATTGGCTCGCGAGATAGTCCTCGCAGGCACCGCGTCGTCGAGCTTGTCTAGGTCTGACTTCCTAGCAATTTTAGTTGTCATAACTGCCATCAACGGCTCTAGTGGTCTTTTGGGTGGCGGAACTTCTTGTAGTGGCGCGGGTGGCATAGGTTCTGCCATCGTAGTCGTAGTAGGGGGTGGAAGTGGTTGGGTACCTATACCTATAGTTTCAAGTTGTAGGGGGTAGGAAGGAGAAGTAAAGTGAGATAGTGTCTACAGCGCCTACCTTATACTCGTGTTTGTTACCTTAGGCACCTCATATGCTTACATGTACCTAGGTTATGCGTCCTTATGCACAAGGTAACGACACGCAGCGTACAAGATGGAGCCTAGAATGGAACATTACCTACCTGACCTATACTAGTTCTGTGCCAATTCTTCTGTGTCGAGGAGGCTATTTGTGCAGAGAGCCCCCAGGGAAGAATCTGTAGTAATGAAAGGAGGCACATCAACGGCCTCACGAGATGACTTTGTTGTCTAAGGTACCTTAAGGTACGGAGGTGATATGGATATCGGTAGAGAAGTACCCAGTGAGTTACAGCCAATGACAAGATGCCCACGCTAGTTCATGACCGTCTTGGCATGAGAGTGACGAGAAGAACCAGAAGAATCCGCGTGCTTCCACATCAGAACTACCTGTACCTCCAGACTACCTCCACCTCCCTACTTCCCTCCCTCTTCTTCCTCAGAGATCGCCCTCATCGTCTTCCTCGAGAAGAGGCCGGATGGCTCAATCCGTAGTCACGGCTGCAGCTCAAATCACGCTCTAGGCCTGCCGCCACTCAACACTACCTACCTACTATTCATGCTTTCTTGCGCCCTAACTTAGCCGTCGCAAGCACGATGACGAAGCCAGAGTCAAAGACTACGGTACCTAAGCCCACAAGATGGCGGTAAATGTGGTTATACCAGCTCTCCCTTGCCTGTCCGCTGCACTTTCCGAGCCTCCAAATCGCTATTAATCCTTCTTCTCCTCGGCAAGCTGCACCAGTGTCACCATCCTAACATTATCATTATCACTATTATTTATTCTTTCACATTCCACATGTCTCCCATCCTACATGTTATGCGCCATGGGCAAGGCTATCATTCATCTGCCGTCACCAAAGACGGCCACTTGCTGCGAGATCCCTTCCTCACCGAGAAAGGCAAGCAGCAATGCCGGGATAGATGCAAAGCTTTTACCAGACACGGACACGTACGTCACCTTGAACCTGGCCACAACAGCACCATCTAATCAAACCCAGATTGAGCTTCTGGTCGCCTCACCGATGCGAAGGGCAATTCAGACGTGCCAATTGTCTTTTCAGCCCGCTGTAGAACGTGGTCTTGTCATAGTCTGCCTTCCCCACGCGGAAGAAGTATCCGATGCTCCAGCAGACACGGGAAGTCCTGTCAACGTCCTCCAAGCCGAGTTCGGCTCCGCCGTCAATTTTGACCACCTTGAAGAAGGCTGGTTCAAACATGACGGGGAGTTTGCTATCGATCCCAAAGCTGTGAAAGCTCGGGCCACGAAGCTTCGACAATGGCTCAAAGCAAGGCCAGAGAAGGAGATTGCCATGGTCAGCCATGGATTCTTTAATCACTATCTGTGCGAAGAGGTCGACGACGATGGCCAGCAGACGACGCCTTGGTATGGCGGCCCTCGCAAGAAACGCGCATAGCGAGGCAGACAGAGAGAAGGAAGTACTAACAAGCCATTTGCAGGTGGAACGAAGCTGAACTCCGCACCTATACATTTTCCGACGACGAAAATGACAACATCGCCAAGATCTACGAGACTCCGGAGTCATTGACTGCACGTGGAGCATCAGCCGGAAACGAAAGACCAATGTCTCCCAAAGTTAACATCCCTTCCACACGAGGCAGCAATCCCGATGAGCATTACATCAAGCCCGACGATTCAGCAACAGCATCCAGATGAGAACAAACGAAGAGACAATACCGAGATATCCCCGCCAAAGCGAAAAAAGAAAGAAAAAAAAGATGAAATTGGCCCAAGCCTATCAGCCTAGATGGGATAGCAGCCCAATGCCTGCCTACAATAGATTCCCGAGAGAAAAAAAGTCGGTAGATTAGACTGTAAATAAGCAAACGAACAGACACCCACTCCGGCCCAAAAACCGCATCCCATCTCGATCTCAACTGACTAATGATATGACATATATCTCTCTTATGAACAGAATAGAATAGTGACAATAGTCCAACAGAGTGAAATTACCGTTCGCTATCATATAGCTTTATCTTTTTCACTCACCGCTGTTGACATATACCAGCCTACTAGCCCGCTAGCTAAGGTAGCCAACATGTATAAGGTACGCATATTTCCCCGGAAACCTTCTTCATCTCCTTCTTCATCCTTTCAACATAAGGTACATGTACATGCATATATGTGCATACCTTATATACGTTATGCAAGCTCAATTATCATATATCCCTCTTATGCATTATTGATTATAATAATCGGAAGATAGATATCGCTCTAAGCGAACCGTATCCGTGTGTAGGTATAGGTAGTAAGTACCTCAGATATATAGGTACCTACCTTATATATATTCAAGTCTTAATAGAAAGAAAGCGTTGAGTAATGCCGTCTTAAGGTATGGATGGGCTGTACAATATATATGTGATTCTTTTTATAGGCCTTCAATGTGCGTGCGTGCGTGGGGTGGATGGAGTGCGTTGGGTAGGTTCGGCACGAACAAAACTCTGCCGTTTCATGCACAACATATACCTTACCACATTACCGTTTCTTGACAGGTGACTGGGCAGAACCGAGGAGAAAAAAAAACATCCGTCATCTCGCTCTTCCAATAACATAATGCGAGGCACCTATACAAGGACGGGGATCATGATGGTGACGATATCTGCACGCACAGCAATATTAATTCTATATAGGAGGTAGCTATGCACATATTATGCAACCTATAGCAGGATGCGCCTGTACGCGGGCACGCGGCCATTATCACTCACTTCCCTTGCTTGCAATACTATGTCGGTGAGCCTCACTGCACGCCGCAACAATGTGACCCCGCCGAGGCTACTGCCATACTGCCTGCGTATCGCTGCGTAACATGGGGCGATACGAAAACAAAAGGAACGCTCCAATCAGAATATGCTCCGTTGCTAGCGAAGCCCAATCTCGATTGCGAGTCATGCACTCAAACATCGAACTTCTTCGTCTTCCTCGTACAGTTGACGAGCAGAGAACTCCTGACACTGTCTTCTTGCTTGGAACCGCGTGGATATTTGCTTCCCGGAGGCCAGTCCACGAAGGTGACAGTATCAGCCTTCAGACGCTTCATGTAGTCCAGGAATCGATCGTCGGTGCGATCTACTCGACGGCGGCCATGGAAATGCAGTTCCAAGGTCTGCAGCTGCGCATGATCGCCCAGATGTCGAAGCACCGAAATCAGGTCTGCGTCATGGACGAAACGGCGCTCTTCATTCGTCTTCATCGAAGGATTCAAGCAGGGCACCGCATCCTCCAGCATGAAGCTCACTTTTCGGATGAGTGCCGTGTTCGTAGGACCAATAGCCCTGCATTACGATTAGCATCATTTCTCTTTCTTTCGTTCACCGAGGGCCGCCATATCGAAATCTCCGAAGACCAATGCAACTCACTTCATGAACTTCCGCACATTCAGATATCCCAACTCACGCCACTCGTGCTCCCAGAACGAACCATAACGCTGCGTACGGCGCTCTATGGCAAATGCATTTTCGGCGTAAAGGATGCTTCTGCCTTCCTCCTGCAGATCATGAGATTAGCATTGCCATGTCTGCTCTATACAGTGAGTGAAACGTACATAGACTTGACGACAAGTACGCAGTAGAGCTGCAGTTCGACTCAGGTTGTCGGGCAGGGCAAAGTTGATGGTCGGCCTCTCCGTGACGAAGGCTAGGCGATAAATGTCGTTCCTCAGTTCAGCCGGTAGATCCAGGAAACCGGCGAGTTTCTTCTTCTTCGGTACAGATCGTGCATTGAGCCGGGCGAGTGTTGTCTGTGTGAGCTTGTCGGGCTTTGATGGCACGCATGGAGTTGCGGCGAAAGTCTTTGGATCAAGATTCAGTGTGATCGGACCTCGATGTCCTGGCGGAATGTTGATTGTAAGGTGGACGGTGAGACCTGTCGGGCTGGGAGCCTCTTCAGCATCTGAATGTGATGAGTCGGACATGCCAACTGCTTCATCGTCAGATGGTAGTGACCGTCCGACTGGCGAGGGCGATCGTCGCCGCTTCTTCAATGGAGCCACGGGTATCACATCATCGATGACTTCGGCTTCAGAGTCACTCTCGTCGTCGCTGATTGCTATGGCAGAGTCTTCAAATGGTGATTTGCGTTGCTGCGTGCGGCACTTGCGGACTGCTCTGCCTTTGGCATTGCCGTCAATGGCGAAGATTGGCGGGCCGAGCTCAGAGCGTGGAGGATTGTTGTCGTTATTACGCTTCTGTCTTTTGGTGGTTCGAGGCATTGTGGCCGGCCGGATCTGTAGCGGTCCGAGTCTGGTGCCGTGTGGTAGTGGTAGTGGTGGTGGTGCAGAAAGTTGAAGTTGTGCGAAGATGGAAGCGAGTACTAGATAGAAGAGGTAGGTGGGTACCTGTTAAGAACAAAACTGGCAACGACGATTCGATTGCAATGGAGGCAGGAACGCACGGGCTCTGCTCTGGCCGAAGTGAGAAGGAGTGCACGGGCAGTAGAAGTCGCTGTTATCGTAGATGCAGGCGATATGACCGGGAAGGCACTGGGGTGCGCACGTCGAAGGCGCACGACGACCGGGTTGGTCTGGAAGGTTGTTGTCGTGGAAAAAAATCAGTGTCGGCAAAGCTAAGAGAGGCTCGGCATCCACAGCAGACAGCACCTTAGTCAGTAGTCAGAGTCGTCATGAGGTCTCTCGGCGGGCGCGCGCCTGTCATCGACTCGTTGGGGTCGGGGAGTGAATGATTCGATGGAGACATCGCCAAGTCGCGAAATACCAGAGTCGGTCCGGCATCCAGGTCGTCATACAGTGGAGGGTACGGAGAGTACTAGGTACGGTAGTAACAACACGAGCGCAGGGCCACATGTGACGATGGCAGTACCAGAACGTACCTCACGTACCTGTCCCGGAGTGGTGTGGCGTGGCGTGGCGTGGCCTATAAGTCACTAAGGTAGTAGATAGACGCCTCCATAGTCCATAGCATCTCGTCGCTATGGACCAGTATCCACCTGTGGTAGGCCTAGGAGATAGGAGGGTATGGTAGTATGTCCACGCGCGGAGGATTAGACCGACTACATATGACCTGTCAGGCACAGCTGACTCTCGCGTAGGCTGCGCAACCATCTTCGCGTCGGGTACAACTCCTCTGCGTGGTAGGAGGTACTTGTAGACACAGACACCGCACCATGATACCTAAGGTACCATCCATCTGGACACCACGCAGTCTGTCGGTCAGCCAGTCCTCGACTCCTCGTCGCCGCACAAACGGTCGTCCTGGAGCGCTGCCCAACAACGACGACGTTGACGATGTTGAGTCGTTGACGACGTCGAGGACGGCGACGATCGAGATATCGCTTCTGGTGTCCGCCGGTGCGCAGGGATTCAAGTGTGAGTTTCATCTCATCTGGTCCCGTCAAGACAAGTCTGTGAGTCTGCAAGGATTCTAATCTAATCAGAACGGCTGCCGGCGCCTGCCGAAGTCTGGCCCCACCTGTCGCCTCGGTAGAACTATGTCCTCCTAGGGTACCTGTATTCTCGTACCTTGGCCGCATCAAATCTTCTTCTTGCAGGTACAACGCAAGGTTCCTCTTATTACGCCCACCCACCACCGCTCTCACTGTAGACGGCGACCATGGGCTCCAAATATGGCACCATAGTCATGGGCCCGGCGGGCGCGGGCAAGACGACCTTCTGCGCCGCCATGATCCAATACCTCAAGAACAACCGCCGCTCGTGCTTCTACATCAACCTGGATCCGGTGTGTATCGGATTACGAGGGCACAGGTAGGTCGCGCATGGCTGATGGGGAGTGCAGGCCGCCGATGACTTCGCCTACGAACCGGATGTCGACATCAAGGACCTGATCACGCTCGAAGATGTCATGGAAGAGCTGCACCTGGGCCCCAATGGTGGCTTGATCTACTGCTTCGAGTTCCTCCTTGACAACCTCGAATTCATCACCGACCCGCTCCAAGACGTGGGCGAAGAGTCACTGATCATCATTGATATGCCGGGACAGATCGAGCTGTATACCCACGTGCCCATCGTGCCGAAGCTGATCAAAGAGCTGCGAGGTGGCAGCTTGAATGTCAGCATGTGCGCTGCCTATTTACTCGAAAGCTCCTTTATCGTCGATCGCGCCAAGTTCTTCTCCGGCACCTTGAGCGCTATGAGTGCGATGATCATGATGGAGTTGCCGCACGTCAACATTCTCAGTAAAATGGACCAGATCAAGGGTCAAGTCGCGAGAAAAGAGCTCAAGCGATTCATCGATCCAGACACGAGCCTGTTACAGGATGCGCCCGAGAGCGGCTTGGTGTATGAATTCAAAGAGGGTGTAGACAACGGTGATCCCGAGGATGTGAGTGTCATGGCAAAGGACTCCTTTGCCAGGCTGAACCGAGCCGTCGGGCAACTCATCGACGACTTCAGCCTGGTGTCTTTTCTCAAGCTTGACGCGCAAGACGAAGATAGCGTGGGCGCTGTTCTGAGCTACATCGACGACGCTATCCAGTTCCACGAGGCCCAAGAGCCACGCGAACCAAACGACGAACTGAACGATGCCGATATGGGCTGAAGCCAATGTGCCTGAGACCACACTGTGCAGTAGTGCGCTCATCACATGCGGAGACTCCACAAGCGCAATGATGGACTGCTCCAGGACAGGAGTGACTCGCATTACTAACACTATGGATAGTGCCCATACAATCACGTATGGCCTATCCCGCTCTTGTTGGATCTTCGACAGATTGAGCTGTTGCGAGGCTTATGCGCCACCCAGGGTGCAACACAGCGTCCTCACTGGCTGTCAAAGAACGTGTCTGGGACGGGAATGTGGGTTCTGCGCCTCACTATGAAAGTTTGATGCGAGAGTCTACGAACATGGAATTGATCATGGCTTTTCCCATCAAGAATAAATCGAGTAACCACACTGTTACCAGGAGGAGGATCATGGCGACAGAAACCCAAAGGATAGCGTTGCTCTCCAACTCTTGCCCAAGGTATATCGTACTGATCGTGAAGCCCACGTTTGGGAAGACAACAGCTACGGCAATGTCAGCTTTAGCATTGTGCATCTCATGAGGTCAACTCACTCCATGCAGAGTTGTGCCAACTCAAACCCAGCTTCCATCTCCCGTCCTCCTTCCTGAACACCGTGGCCATTGTGATCATGAAAGCTAGCAGGAAGACGAAGAAGGTGAATAACCAGAGAAACACCCCCACCCAAGTTGCCAAGATCAGAACTACTTCGCCTGCAGTCGGATGCGTAGCAAAGTACCCATAACCCATTGGCGCAGCTCTCGCAATGCTAATGAGAGCCACGATGGTAAAGCTCGAAGTCCCCACCATGATGAAAAGTCCCGTCCTCAGATTCACCATGGGCCAACCATTCTCCAACAAATTCCCAATGGTAAAGGTCAGGAAAATCACACACATGATCCACCCCAAGCCTTGATATGCCACTCCCGCGACCATGATGGGCAATCTCTGATCCGGAGGTTGATCACCCGCAATATCCCCCGCCACCGTGCCCGTGAGCATGGCATTCAAAATCAGAATAAACGCCGCCGCCGGAAACTCGACCGCTTTGACCGGCACCCATCGCGCAATCACCACCATGTGCACAGAAGCACTGAGCAGCGACACAGCCGCATACATCCAAAACAACACACGCACCGTCACCAGCATCCACGCACCCGTGTGCGGCACGGCAAATTTCTGCATATTCAAAATCATCGTCGCCAGCGTCAACCAGAAAGATCCGAAAAAGAAACATTCGGGCCGTGTGGTGAAACTGCGTCGGATGCTGGCCGGGTCGCGAGTCCACCGGATGAGGAGGAAAGTGCAGAATAGAAGAAAGAGGAAGATGTTGAAGAGGAAAATTATGGTTCCGAGAGTGAGAATTCCTGAGAATGGTTTGGGACAGGCGGAGAGGGTGGTGGCGATTCCACCGGTGGATTGCGTACATGTGAACCAGGACCAGTTGAAGTTTGCGGTTATCCAGTCGAGGAGGGGAAGGCGATGTTTTTGGTTTTGTTGTTGTCGTTGTGAAGAGGAGGACGGGGAGGTGTCTTTGTTATTGGCAACTGTGGCGGTGATGCCATTGCTGTTGTTGTTGTGGTCGTTGCGTTCGTTGTTGATAATGATATTCTCATTAGAAGACGACAACGAAGGTGGATTTGAACTTGTTGTATTCTGATCATTCCTACTATCATGTGAGGATTCTCCTTCGACAGCTTGTCTCTCCAGGTCCTTATCGTATTGGATTGAACCCTGGTCATGGTCGGACATTGTCCGTCCCTTCCTCCCTCCCTCCCGAGGTCAGAATCTTGTTGTTATGTAGTCGCGTACCTCTTCCTACTTGGTGCACTACGTAGGCAGTTTGAGATGACCTTTAGGTCCCGTCCCCGTCTTACTTCGGCTTGTTACCAGTAATTTTCTTAGCTTGCCTCCAGTCTTCACCGCCTGCGATGATGCGATATCATAAGAAGCAGGAGGGAACGGAATGGAAAGCTTCAACAACAACAACACCACCAACAAGAAGAAGATGAAAGAAGAAACAAGAAGAAGAAGAAACAAGAAGACGGGAAACAAACAAGACTTTTCGCTTAATCGCCATGCGGCAGCGGCATTGCGCCCAAAAACTTTCACTTTCGGCTAAATGCTTGAACTCCCTCCCAGCTCCCGCACACACGCAGGTCATTCCATTTGTTTTCTACGTTTCACGTCATCATCTGATTTACCTTATTCTTTCACGGCAAAAGTTTTCCGTCCACTGGAGAGTTTCAATGGACAAATGTTTGTGTCCGGCTTGCTACAATGTAGTCTAGACAAAAACTCCCAAAGGACTAGGAGGTAAGTTGCCTACCTAGCTAGGAGGTAGTTGCCGCTGATCCGGGAATATGTTTCCGAAATGGTTATATACCTACATGTACAGTACAAACAAGCAGAGTGCTGCTCCTCGGGCATCTGGTTGTGATTGTAGAAAGTCGGGTTTGCTGCACCTACCTCACCTCTCTAGCAGCCCGGCTACTTTGGAGGGATTTCTGTCAAGCCGTGACGACGCACAAAGGTTCATTCGTTCGTTCATAAAGAGCAAGACGAGGAAGAAAAAACATTTCATTATAGAACAGTTCACTTTCTCCAGCCTCTGTATAAAAACCCACTCTCATAGCACATAGTTAAACTCAGGATTCTCACGATCAGTAAGATCCAACCACTCCTGATTCTCCAACTTTTCGTATCCCGGCCGTGCGCGAATTGCAGCTTTCTTGGAGTTCTGGACTCGGCTCCACCAGTAGAGGAAAGCCATGATGAGCAAACATACACAATAGCAAACCAAAATGGTCACCTCTGCCGAGACGTAACGTGGCGCATCCGACGGGCGGAAAGTTTGAGGTCCGATGATGTTGCCCACACAGTACGCAATGAGGTACATGGCCGCCGTGGTCGTCTTTTTCGTATATCCAGCGACATTCGAAGAGATTAGTGAAAGGAAACATACAAATGGAGTTGGGCTCGCTTGGGTCAAGTAGTATCCTGCTAGTCGACCCTTGTTGTAGCCTTCGAGTGGGAGGCCAACAATTAATGCCATTCCGAGAATGGCCAGTATCATTCCTCCGGAGGAAGTGAGAATTCTGCTGCCGAGTCTGTCGCCCAACCAACCTGTGACGATAAGAGCTACGACTTCGACTGCACCACCAGGAGTGCCGTAGAGCAGCGATTGCTGTTTCGTGTAGCCAAACGATGTAATCAGTTGGCTGAAGAAGTTGGTGATGCCGCCATTCGGAATGTCTGCAACAAGTGCGTATAGCACGAAGCCCCACACCATTGGGTCGGTCAAGGCTTCCCAAAATTGATACATCTTGAAATGTTTGTTGCCCACTCCTTGCTGATTGACTCGAATCCGTTCCAAGGCCAGCACCCGGTCTCCTTTGCTCAGCCATCGAGCATTCAACTGGTTGTCCGGTACTGTGAATAAGAATACGACTCCGACAGCTGAAGTCACCAGTCCTGTTGCGAGGAACAAGATCTGCCAGCCTGCCAAACTCGCCGGATGGTTGGCGGTTCCGACTGCAATGCCGTAGGCTACGAGCCCTCCTACTATCTGTGCAACACCATTGAAGGAGAACCATATACCCGTCCTGAGGCCTTGCTCAGCTTTTGTATACCATTGACTTGTCAAGAGTGCGAAGCCAGGAGTGACAGCAGCTTCAGTCACGCCCAAGAAGAATCGAATTGCCACGGCTCCTGAGAAGTCCTTGGCGGCAGCAAAGCAAGCGAGAACAAGACCCCAGAGGATGATGCATGTCGCCGAGTACTTTCCGAGGGGGAGGCGTTGTAACAGTCGGTTAGTAGGGTATTCCCAAGCCTTTCTCAAGTTAGCACGGGTCTTCTCTAGCATATTTTGGCCTTTATGAGAAGCCAATCGTCGTTTGTGCTTACCAAGTATCCGAAATAGAACATGCTACCTAGCCACTGGTAGTTGTCTCCAACGAGGTTGATGTCCGTTTGTAGCCCCATAATCGAGGCGTAGGATAAAGTGGTCTTGTCGAGGAATTGGAGACCGTAGATGGTACACATGATAGGCATGAGATTCCAATCGATGAGCCTGCATAACCGCTTGTTCGTGGCTTCGTCAATGTGAATGACTTGACCAGCATGGCCCTCAAAGGCCTTCATGGCTTCATCTGCGTCGTGAGCATGCTTGAGGATGGTTTCTGGTACCGAGCCAGACCGAATGGCGTCTGCAAGAGCAGGCGCCTTCTTTTCGAGGTCGCCATCGACCTCGTAGCTTGGCGAATTGGTAGTCATGATTTTCCAGGGCTCCGTCCACCAGTGTTTTGAGGCTGGTAGGTGTGTAAAGGAGAGCAGAGTAATAATAATGAGTGAAGTATGAGAGCAAAAAAGGGTCACCTACGGTACATTCTCGCCCCCGTCCATCTATTGTATACCTTACTGTACCCCGTAGATGATAAGATCAGGCACAATGATGCATGTAGTGCGACTACTGTTAGTAATGGCGTGTGTTTCTTTTGGCAGCGTGGCGAGCACATGGGAGAACGGGAGGGCGGGATGGCGGGTGTGGTTGCGATAGGCAGAGATTCGGGTCTCCTTGGCCGTCTCTGGAAGGTTGCTCACGATAGGAGGTAGAGCCTTGGAGGTAGCAGTGGAGGAGTGGAGGGGTCGGGCAAGCCTGCACATGATTATATTACATATGTATGGTGACAGGTGGAGTTGCATCATGATCGCCTTGGTGAAGCTTCGCTGACACTTAATTCCTCCCGTCTTGGCAAACTGAATTGATGCCAAGTGATGGGTATAGTGTATGTACATTGGGTGCTATTTGCCCGGATGGTGTTCGGTATATTTGTTATTGTTGTTGCTCCAATCGTGTTGTACCTTAGGAGGTAAGATGGGAGTGCTGTGTACTCACTCGGTGGTGGTACCTACCAGGTAGAAATATATGATGCCAAGCTTGTGCTCCGGGAGGCTACAAGAGGCACGAGACAGAATAGACCCTGGATCTGTTTATCGTGACACGTCCACCCGGTGAAGCTGCGACGCGCGATGCCATAACACTCAGTACAAGAATTCAACATGGCCAACATCTTCGAATCGAACGCGCCTCAAGACGGTGTCCGAGCGACCGAGTCTGCACATCGAAAGATTGAACTGCAGAGCCCAGCAGATCTGACATATCTGATTGCCAATGTCACAAAAGCCGCGCGAGAGAAGCTCGATCAACATCTTCCGCCCGATGCGGTGCCCGAAGGAGAAGATGCCATGAGGAAGAGAGTGGAACAGTTGGTCGACGATGTACAGCCACCTCGTCTCTATGTATACGTGTACTCACAAAGCTGATCGAGGGGACGGCAGTACATTCATTCCACCTTCAATGCAGCCAAAGACAACATCACAATCAACGGCATGGACACGCGAGAGATTGAAGAAGAGCTAGCAAAGGCGCAAGAAGGAGAAGGTATAGAACCATCACGCTCTCATTGTGCACCAGATATAGATGCAGAATCCCAAACACAGTACTGTTGGCAATGGCTGACAGGTCCCCCAGAACTTGAACCCTTTGACACGAAACTGGCGCAGAAGATTCAAGCTCTTTCGGCCCAGATTGAGTATCAGACACTGCAATTGGCAAATTTGAGGCGGAAGGCGCCCAGAGATACAGCGGAACAGTTCAAGACTGCATTCGAGAGGCAGGCGGTGGAGTACGAGAAGAGGTTGGAGAATGAGAGACTGGCGAGGATGAAGGCTGCGCAGGAGATGAACGTGGGAGTGGGTGAGGTGAAGAGGGTAGAAGAGATGCAGGGCACGTGGCAGAGGGGCAATGAAGATCTAAAGAGACTGAATGAAGGGATGAGTGGTACTGTTGGGAAGCTAGAGAAGGCACAAAGAGCTGTGGAAGTCGTTGGAGAGAAATAGTGGGGATGGGATGATACACGTTTGGACGAGATATGATACCCAGGATACCGGCGTTTATTGCTTGACATTCTCTGATGTCTATTGCGAGTGTAGGCACAGGGGGGGGGGGGGGGGGGGGGGGGGAG